AGTCAGAATCATGATTGAGATCATGTTTGAGGAATCATGGCATTTCTGGCAGCAACAAGCCATAAATCCCATTCAGTTGATATTTTACGCTTTTCAACTTCCAGATGTGTAGGACTACCTCTCCCAGTATCCTTCTGAGCATTTAATTTTTGGTTTGCAAAATTGGAGAGTTAAGATTAGGGCTATTTACTTCTAAAAATAAACTGTGTTCTCCAATATTCTGCCTGACTCTTGATGCAAACCTGACTTCTGCTTTCATTCAGAACTTTCTCTGTTATCATTTTAGTCCACGCAACCTAATATATTTTCCTTCACAAGTTCACCAAGTAGTCCTCACAACAGCCCTTATTATTACAATAAATTCTGTGCTCATCATTTCCCGTATTGGAAAGATTTTCTTGGGAGATCCACATGACCAGATTTTAAGGTGGGGTGAGTAGAAATGTTTGGGAAGGGGGTGAGGGGGAGTAATAAGGGCTCCTGTGATGAGGAATTTCTTCAGTAATTAGTAACTTGAAAACTCTTGAACACATTCTTTTATCAGAGAAAGAAAGATAACTGCCTTCCGTGCCCCCCCCTCAAAAAAGCCCTTTTCTTCTACCATGTCTTAAGGAACAGTTCATCATGCAGTCATAAACTACAGAAACTGACTGAAGGTCAGACCTGCTGGTGCTAGGCATAACTGTCTCTTATCAGCATTTAACTTTGTTTTTACAGGGTAAGGCACATAAAGAGTCTGGGTGGAGATGCCTCAAAGGAAAGCCAATCCTTTATCTGTTACTTAGGATAAGGAAGCCTCTCCCTAATTCAGTCTCCCAATATGGCCCAGACTGCTTTAAAAAAACCAAAGTAGGAATAAATAAAAATAAAGTCTGCAGAGAAGCAGATTGAACCCACTTCCACTTAACACTGTACTGATCAAAAGTCTACCTTATCCAGTTGAATCCAAAAGCAAATAGATTTATTGGCCAACTTTCTACCTAGTATACAGCAGCTGTCTTTGGATTTCATGTAGCGTCAAAAAGAGGACGTGATGACATCCGGGCGAGTGGGCGGAGCCTCCCGTAGCCGCCACTATCGGTTTGCCCGAACCTGATAGAACCGGCTGAATACCACCACTCGTCTGTAGCTAGAAGTTACTAACTTTGGAAATCCTTGAAGCCTGTTATACTCTTCAAAAAAAGTGGTTATGAAAAAACTTGTTTAATTCTGCTATTAGCAGAACAAATCATATAGAAATTTTAAAAATTAGTTTTTTAAAGTTATTTTAAAAATAAAAATGGGATTATCCTTTGAAATAAGGGTGTCTTGATATGAACAGAATACTGAATTTGAGGCTGACCATATATTTTTTTTTTAACCCCAACCCTGGATCGTCCTGTGATCATCCAAGAAGGGTATACTGTAGACCATAAATACAAAACTAATTATAGTGGCAAACAAACTTCAATGATAAGTCAATATTTAGTGGAAGCAGGAGTGACTTCTGACATCCTGCCAGCTTCCCTATTGACTTTGCTTGTGGGAAGCTGGAAGGGAGCATTGGAAGTCACCATCATGTGGCTGCAGAGATGCTGCAACGCCACAACTTTGCCCATAAAACTGGTCTGAGCATCGTGGATATTTCAAGTAATATTGACAGTCTCTGTGGCAATCATGAGGAGAGGGCACTCAAAGCTGATTTAGCTGGACTTTGGCTGGTTTCCCTTGAGAGGTTGCTATAAGGGAGTCTGTTAACTTCTGTTAATAACTCCAATGAACATGCTTTATTCCATATAATAAAACCAAATGACGCTATTTAGTTCAGTGATAGCGAACCTTTTCGGCGCCGAGTGCCCAAACCAGAATGCGTGTGCATCAGAGGTGGTATTCAGCAGGTTCTGATCAGTTCTGGAGAATCGGTAGCGGAAATTTTGAGTAGTTCGGAGAACCAGTAAATACCACCTCTGACTGGCCCTGCCCCCATCTATTCTCTGCTTCCCGAGTCCCAGCTGATCGGGAGGAAATGGGGACTTTGCAGTAACCTTCCCCCGGAGTGGGGAGGGAATGGAGATTTTACAGTATCCTTCCCCTGCCACGCCCACCAAGCCACGCCCACAGAACTGGTAGTAAAAAAAATTGAATCCCACCACTGGCGTGCATGTGCGCACACCTGAGCGCTGGAAATCTGAAGACCAGCTGGCCAGTGCGTGCGTGCTTGTTTTTTGGCCGTTTTGGGCCATTTTTCAGGCTGTTTTTCGGACCATTTTCAGGCCAACAACGAGCCTGAAAAACGGCGTTTTTGGGATGTTTTCCAGCGCTCCAGTGCCCACAAAGACCAGCTGGCCGGCGCATACATGCCGGAAACCAGAAGAACAGCTGGCAACAGCGCATGTGCCCACAGAGGACTCTGTGTCCCACGTCTGGCACGTGTGCCATAGGTTAACCATGACGGATTTAGTTTGTTTATTTGTATCCCTGCTTTATTATTATTTGTACACTAGATCAAACCATAGCACCACTTAATGATAAAACCCCTCTTCCTCACTGCCTTGATTCTCTTTTCCAAGGATTTACGCCCGCTGAATTTTTCACACAGCAAAACAACAAGAGATTTAGGAGGACTCAAAGGAAAGGTTTAAATAAGAAAGTCTTCTTTTTCCAAAACCATTCATCTAGAAAGGAATAGCTACCCTGTGATATATATTTCTGGCATCTATATATCCATGTTCAATTTCTTACTTTTTCATTTCACACATGAACAAACCAGTAGACAATAAGGGGAGGGGGGCTTTTCTCTTTTCTATTCCTTTCTCTTTTCTATTCCCTTAATATCTGAAAAAGCCACTACTAGGTTCAGGTATATAATACTGAGCTGAACAGGTTTGATACAATAAAAGGCACCTTTTTAAAAATACTCATACTTGGAATTAAGAATATATGCATGAACACAGCTAGTCCTACCCAATCTGGCTACTTCCAAATATTTTGAACTAAAACTCCAATTAGCTCCTCAAAGCAGGACCAACAGTCAGAGATGGCAGAGGTTACAGTCTAAAACAGCAATCCTCAATCTTTCCGACTCCATGGACCAGCAAGTGGTGACAGAGGGGAGGGTTTCGCACAACCTAGCTCTTAAAAAGGTAAAGGTAAAGGTTCCCCTTACACATATGTGCTAGTCGTTCCTGACTCTAGGGGACGATGCTCATCTCCGTTTCAAAGCCGAAGAGCCAGCGCTGTCCGAAGACATCTCCATAATCATGACCAAATGCTAAAGGCGCACGGAACGCTGTTACCTTCCCACCAAAGTTGGTCCCTATTTTTCTACTTGCGTTTTTTACGTGCTTTTGAACTGCTAGGTTGGCAGAAACTGGGACAAGTAATGGGAGCTCACCCCATTATGCGGCATTAGGGATTCGAACTGCTGAACTGGCGACCTTCTGATCGACAAGCTCAGTGTCTTAGCCACTGAGCCACCATGTTCCATAGCTCTTGTGCATGCGCAAATGAAGTTTTGCATGCTCGCCCATCCCTTGCTCAGGCCAGTTCACAACGGGACACAGATTGGTACAGGTCCACAGTCTGGGGGTTGGGGAACCCCTAGTCTAAAACATTTGAAGAAACCCAGGCTAGACTGGGATAGAAGAGTGGCATTAATCATTGTTTAACAGTTCACGCACACATACAATTTGCTTAACTATAGTTTACTGAATAAACTATAAACAACTGGCTAAGTTCATTCACAACAGGTTATGTCATAAAGTTGGACTTACTAATGCCTCTGTCTGCATTCAAAACCAAACAACAAAGAATATCATTTAGTTTTACAGCCAGCAATATCTTCACAGCATCACACAACCTACTATGAAGAATTAAAAATAAATAGGAAAGCTATTCTATAAGGTCATAAATGTAGTTTTGTAAATATGCAGTCCTTTTACGGAAAGGGGAAAAAAATGTAACATTTGCACGGCTGGCACACTGAAATGGGTGAGCCGCTATAAACATACCTTTCAAATTGCCAAGTATTTAAGTACAGAAATGTCAAACACCTTAGGGGGCTATTTACTCAAGCAAGATTTGAGCAGCTGAACACAATCGTTAAATAAGGACGGCTTAACCAAATCCCTTATAATGAACGTACTTGTATTTGAGGAGCCCCAGAGACAGAAGACATCACACCTATTTTATCTGAATGTCAATAGTATAAGAAAGAGAGAAATCAGTAACTTGGACTGCACGTCAGATGAATGCCCTATTGGGATTCTTATATTAAAACCAGTGGTGAAATCTGAACTGGTTTGCCACCGGTTCGCTGGCCACGCATGCGCACTATGCGCACCAAAAGGAGGCTTGGGAAGGTAAGTAGAGTAGCGAGGGGGGAGGGGATCATCTGTGCCGCACAATTTAGATTCACTAGAAAGCAGGATTTCCTGCTTTCTAGAGATTTTAAATCGCGCAGCCCAGCTGATCGTCGGAAATGCTGGTTGGTAGGAACTGGTAGCTTTTTTTTACTACCGGTTCGCTCAAACCGGTAGTTTTTATCACTACCGGTTCTCCTGAACCAGTGCGAACCGGTAGCATTTCACCACTGATTAAAACAATAGGTTCATGTGCAGTCAGAACCCCAAAATTACATATAACAGGGCTTTTTACTTGAACAAAACAGTACAGCTGAGAACTGCATATGTGGTTCTAATTTGAGGTAAATTGTAAGGTGACATGGAAATTTGATTTGCATTTTCTTTTATAGTACTTATTTCTTTTATTCTATTTTTAATTTCTTTTAATTATTATTCTGTGTTTTATATTCTGTATTCTGCTTTGGTCTAATGGCTAATCAATAAAGTATTACTAATACAAAATCTGGCAAAAGAGAATATTCCTATAAGCAGTGCAAGAGCTTCATCTCTAGTTCCATCTCTAAAATGAAGCCTAAATCAGGTCATTTGTCATATGGCGACAAGGAAGAGCACTGGCTTTACTGGAGGAAGATCAAGAGAATAAAACCACCTACTTACCTCCCCCATCGCCCTTCCTTCCAAAGCAAGTGCTTGAAAATCATGATTTAATTCATCCATGGATCGAACCTATTACAGAGGCAAGAGAAACGTAGGTAAGAGAAACTGAAAACTAGAAGATAATAAAGCAGAGTTTTAAGCAACTGGAACATAATCATTTGTATTTAACTTGCATAAAAGTATATTTAAAATTACAGCTGCAAAAACAAAAACAAGTGTTTGGTGATCAGTTAAGGTAAACAAAACATTTAGACTTACTGAAACAGAGAGGTGATTAGCCAACATAAAGGAAAATGCATCTGAAACTAATATAACTAAACAAAACATTCACATTTATAAAATATGTATATTTCTTTTAAGTTCACAAATCCCAAAATTTTCTTGAAAAATAGAAAGAATAGAAACTTATGACTGCACTTAAAGAGATGCAGGATCACATTTAGTAATTAGAAAACCATGATTATCAACTGTACTAATTTTTTCTTATATGAAATTATATCTAATGAAATCTCTCCTGCATTTCAGTTAAAAAGAGACAACATGGTTGTCTGCTTTCCCTCTATAAGCTGCCTTCTGAACTGGTAGCAATGGATATGCATTATTGTTGTGTCACTGAAAGAATTATGCCTAAAAATATACAAAGTCCATATGACTAATGAAACTGTTTACACTCAGGACAAAACATCCTTATCAATGTTAGTAGCATTACACAAAGTTTACAGTAATTGTATCTATGCCTCAGCAGTCTGTGGAACTCACAAGTGGAAACATCCAAAATTTCCTCACATTTTTCCTCATATAAATAGGCAAATAAATTAACTTGGGTGTCAAGAATTACTCTAATCTTACTTAAAAACAGCTTCGGATTCATGCTAAAACAAATAGACTAACTATGAAATTCATATGACATTAAAGATGTCCTGATTGTCTTAGATAACATCAAATTTCACACTTGTAGTTATTTCCTCCTCAGGCGCATACATATATTAATATAACTTTTGTGTTTCTGGGTGCTACCTTCAATCAGTCTTGATTCAGAGCTGACTACATGAACATGTCCATGTAGTTTCTCACAACCATTTCAGAAATTGCCTACTATACAATACCATAATAATCTAACGACTAGAGCAATAGATCCAAAGAGCTATTTGCTCATTTATTCTGACTGACATCAGAATAGTAAGAGATTGTGCAACTTGGTATTCTTTAAATTCTTCCAATACAGATACCGGTAGTACGGTAGTCCTGGACTTACGACCAGTTGCTTAGCAAATGTTCAAAGTTATGACCTACCTGAAAAAAGGGGCATTTCGGGGCATTCCAAAGTTCCGCAGTCATGTGGCTGCATTTTAGACGCCCAGCAACACAGCATTATAGCCATTTGCAGCGTCCTGTGGTCACCACAAGAGTGCTTTTATTGCCATTTTTGACGCCATTACTTCCAGATTTATGTGGCTGTTGGACACAGCTTTGCCTGAAACATGATATCCAATTGTGTTGAACAACAGCCACATAAAAAGTCATAAATTCACAACTGTCACAATTTCCCACGGTAACAGGCAGGCTCAATTACTGTACAAGTAGTCCTCGACTTACGACCACAGTTGAGCAGGGGTGAAATCCAGCAGGTTCTGACAGGTTCTGGAGAACTGGTAGCAGAAATTTTGAGTAGTTCGGAGAACCAACAAATACCACCTCTGGCTGACCCGAGTAGGGTGGGAATGAAGATTTTGCAGTATCCTTCCCCCAGGAGTGGGGAGGGAATGGGGATTTTGCAGTATCCTTCCCCTGGAGTGGGGTGGGAATGGAGATTTTGAAGTATCCTTCCCCTGCCACGCCCACCAAGCCATGCCCACAGAACTGGTAGTAAAAAAATTTGGATATCACCACTGCAGTTGAGCCCAACATTAACAATGCTAAGCGAGACATTTATTAAGTGACTTTTGCCCCATTTTACGACCTTTCCTGCCTCAGCTGTGCAGTGAATCCCTGCAGTTGATAGGTTAGTAACCCTGTTATTAAGTGAATCTGGCTCCCTCACTGACTTTGCTTGTAAGAAGGTCGCAAAAGGGGATCACGTGACCTCAGGCCTCTGCAGCTGTCGAAAACATGAACCAGTTGCCAAGGATCTGAATTTTGATCACGTGATCATGGGGAAGTTGCAACGGTTGTAACTGAAAAACAGTCGTAAGTCACTTTTTTCAGTGCCACTGCAACTTTGAACGGTCACTAAACCAACTGTTGTAACTCGAAGACTAGCTCTATGCTCTATCCCTGAATAGGGCTAGTGATAGTACCCAATTTTAAGGATTACAGTTCTGATATTTCACTCAAGACAACTGAGAGATAATTCCCAAATCACCTTCAAACAATAGCTATTCTCCAAAACACCCGAGGGCAGGAGAAGAAGCAATGGGTGGAAACTAATCAAGGAGAGAAGCAACTTAGAGCTAAGGAGAAATTTCCTGACTGTTAGAGCAATTTCTGTACTTTTCAGAGTATAAGACGCACATTTTCCCCCCTAAAAGAAGGTGGAGATGTTGGTGCATCTTATACACCGAATCCAGCCATTTTTGGCCTCCCTAAACCCCACCCCGGGCGTCCCATTTTTGCCAAAAACAGGCCAATTTTTCACAAAAATGGGGGGCGCAGAGGGCTTGGGGGGCCTGCAGAGTGCTCCTGGGGGCTGGGGAAGGACAAAAACTGGATGCACGGAGCAAAAACCTTTTTTTTTCTTGTTTTGCTATTTAAAATCTTGGTGCATTTTATACTCCGGTGCGTCTTAACAGTCCGAAAAATAGGGTAATCAGTGGAACTACTTGCCTCCAGAAGTTGTGAATGCTCCAATACTGGAAGTTTTTAACAAGATGTTGGATAACCATTTGTCTGAAGTGATATTGGGTTTCTTGCCTAAGCAGGGGGTTGGACTAGAAGACCTCCAAGGTCCCTTCCAACTCTGTTATTCTATTCTATTTAATTCTACACAGCTGCAATGTCCTTCTGGGATAAACAACAGAGGGAAAAAGAGGCTTAAACAGAACCACAGCAAACAGGACAGGAGGCCTCCCCATCCATGTTCTGTGTGCTTCATTGTCTAATCTAGTTCTATTTAAGGGTATAATTTTTTTAAAAAAAACCTGACATAAAATATGATTCATTATTTTCCTCTTTCCTTTGTCAAGGGGCTGCTAAATTATAAGTATTAGCACAAGCTTGCTCATTATTTTATATTGCTAGTGCTAATCAAAATATTGTTATCATTCTTGTTTTTGAGATTAGTACTAAATAATTGGGGCAAAATTATGTTATCCGTACAACGGCTTAAGCCTTTGTTATACTATTTTTTTAAAAAACACTACCAGCATATATAACTTTCTCAACGCAAAAATGAAAGAAATCAAAATTGGTAAATGTTTCAAATTTATGCCAGGCCATTCAACTTCTCTATACTTTTAAGAGGATTTTGAAAAACAAAACAAAAATCAACCCTCAATACAATTTTAAGTCCAATTGTATATATGTCCAATTTTATATGGTAAATCTTATGTGCAAAGTACTAGTATATTATCTTCAGGCTGCTGATTTCAGCAATGGTCAGTGGAAGTTTTTATTAACTGATTAAGCTCCCAGCTACACAATTAGATAGAACACTTGTTGAAGACTTGTATGATTAATCATTAATTAAAAGAATATTACAGCTATAAACATTGAGATCAACCAAAATGTAAAATGCTGCTTATGAAAGCTGGAAGTTACTAAACTGTTGGATGGCAACAGTTAAATATCTGCCAAAAGAGAATTAGGAAACTACAAAAAAAAAAAAAAAAAAAAAGCTGAAAAAAATTATTTAGTTTTGTGTGAAAAGCAAAAACGTGTGTCTCATAAACTTTTCTCAGAAAAATCAGAGACGGGGAGACAAATAATGAGAAAAAGAAAGTACTGTAAATTAAAAATTAACAAAGCTCAAATACTGCCTCCAAATTCGCCAATTCTCTACCCAGACAATTGAAAAACATCATTTTTTTTTTATAAAAGATCCCACAGCACTGGGATAATCAGTTGACTTTGTGCCTATTTACTGATTCTTGGGCTTGTTAATTTTTACATCATGCCTATTTGGGGGTCGGGGGTTTCTGATGAAGACATCACAGCCTTATTCGTGCAGGATCTCTCTCTCTCTCTCTCAGCCCAACATACTTCACAAGGTTGTTGTTCTTGAGAAAATAGGAGAAAGGCAACATGTTGGATATGTTTGCCACCTTGACTTAGTTGTAAAAAATAATAGTGTGTGTGTCTGTGTATAAAATATAAATTTAAATATGTCAGGCCTAGATTATCCACTGTAACTGTCTCCTAACAGCTGTTCCTGATCCCTCTCCGTTCCATGATTCTAGTACAGATAGTCCTCGACCTGTGTTCACAATTGAGCCCAACATTTCTGTTGTTAAGTGAGACATTTATTGAGTTTTGCCCCATCTTCTTGCCACCGTTGTTAAATGAATCACTGCAGTTGATAAGTTAATGAGCCGGCTGTTAAATGAACTTGGTCTTGCTTTGTCAGAAGGTAGCAAAAGTTGATTATTATGACCTTGGGACACAGCAACAGTCATAAATATGAACCAGTGGCCAAGCATCCAAATTTTGATCATGATTGTGGGCATGTTGCAAAAGTCGTAACTGTGAAAAACTGTCACACATATTTCAGTGCCGTTGTAACTTTGAATGATCACTAAATGAACTGTTGTAAGTTGAGGACTACCTGTACAGAACAGTGACGTTTTGACTCTGTTGGACCTTCCACATCAGTTTCACAATTTCCTGGTACTTGTGTTTACAGGCCTCTAATCACATAATCCCTTCCGTCTTCATGTTTTGGTTCCTCATGCCACTGTCACTGTCTCCGGATTCTGAGTCTTTAAGGGGCATGATCCGTAACTCTGCAACCATCCCCTTTCCCTCTGAGAAATGATGTTCTGAAATCGTTTTCTCTTTTATTTGATTAGGGAATTAGTGTACATTCTGGTTGTTTCACCCTAATTGTTTTTAGCAGAAAGTTGTAGGTTGCATCTGTTTTAAATATATTCAGTCCTACCCCAGAGTAGTTAAAAAATCACTGTGTGGTTATTTTATTACGAACGAAATAACTAAGCTTATTTTATTATTTATTAATATGATTGTATTGCATTGTTGCATTCTTTTGTTGACTCTTTGTGTCTTCATATTTGTCCAATAGATTCTGGGTATATTTTTATTGGATTAATTCGCAATTACTCTTTTCTACCATATGTTGGTAAAGGCATTTATTAAATCCTTACCCTTGTCCTCTTTATTGTCCTGCCTGTGCTGACAGGATGTAGAAAACTTTTTTGTCTTAAATTTTGTAAGCTTAACAGAATCTTTCCCAATCTAGTATCTTTTAGGAATGCTGACCCATAATTCCCATCTAGTCAGTAAGGTAATTAGTGAATGAGTAAGAGCTCCGGACCTTTTGTTTAGATTCCAGTGTCCTTCCACATAATCAATTGGATTTAACTGAGCTGACATACATAGGGCTGCATTATGAAACTTAAAAAAAAACAAAAACATTTTCCTCTTCCACTGTGAATCTATGCTACGGATTTATCCTCATCTAAATTATGGCACAGCTATCAGACACGAAATAAAATGAAGAACATATGAAAAATGATTGAAGGAACTGAGTATGTCCAGTTTAATGAAAAGGAGAACTAGGGGAGACATGATAGCAGTCTTCCAATATCTCAGGGCTGCAACAAAGAAGAGGGAGTCAAGCTCTTCTCCAAAGCACCTGAGGGCAAGACAAGAAGCAATGGATAGAAACTAATCAAGGAGAGAAGCATCTTAGAACTAAGGAGAAATTTCCTGACAGTTAGAACAATTACCGTATTTTTCGGAGTATAAGACACACTTTTTCTCCCCTAGAAGAGGGTGGAAATGTTGGTGCGTCTTATACACCGAATACAGCCATTTTTGGCCTCCCGAAGCCCCGCCTCGCTCATCCCATTTTTGTGAAAAATGGGACCGTTTTTCACAAAAACGGGGCGTGCAGAGGGTTTGGGAGGCCTGGAGAGTGCTCCCAGGGAGGGCAAAAACTTTTTTTTTCTTATTTACCTCTTCGAAATCTTGGTGCATCTTATAGTCTGAAAAATACGGTAATCAGTGGAACAACTTGCCTCCAGAAGTTGTGAATGCTCCAACACTGGAAGTTTTTAACAAGATGTTGGTTAATCATTTGTCTGAAGTGGTGTAGGGTTTCCTGCCTAAGCAGGGGGCTGGACTAGAAGACCTCCAAGGTCCCTTCCAACTCTGTTATTGTATTTCTATTTCTAAAAACTGGTTTAGGAACAAAACAACTGGCTATCCTTAACAGGGTATAGAATGACTTTACATATCATAAGTAATTTCAGAAGGACCATATCTTAAAAAAAATAATAATTTCCATATTCTATACACAATGCATCCAGATAAAATAGCTGATGACATATCCAATCTTAAGAAGTTTAATTTGTGTACTGTTCGAGGATGCAGAAAAATACAGGCTTTAAATAAGTAAAGGTTTGATATATGAATTTCCACATCAGGCTTTTTTTTTTTAATTTAGTATCTTTCATGAAAATGTAACTGTGTTTCATAAACACTTGCAACATTTTTTTTTCTAATCCATCTTGAGGAAAGGAAACCTGAGTGGCACCTTGGTACTTGCTTTGAAACTCATCGAATTTGGTACTCAATGCATTCTGATGCGAAAATTTTGTCCCGGTACTCAACACGCAAGCTAGAACTTGTCAGTGGCGGCTGCCTTCTTGTGACTCACTACCTTATTCCTTACGGGAAAAATCTGTTTGATACTCGTTTTTTAGTACTCATCGTGCCTCAATTTACTCAATTTACATTGAGTAACAAGGTACCACTGTATTCTACAATTCAGGAGATAAGACACTTCAGTTATAACGGATTCCTACATTTAAAGCAACCAGATCATAATGTAGATGATTTTCCAATTAGATTCTCAAACCAGGAGTTTCATTCATAAGCACAGCCAAATGCTATGAGAAATTAATATTTTTAAGTTATTAGAAAATCCTGAAAAAAGGCTGGTATGAAAGGCCTTGCATGATCTATAGCACTGATGGCCAACCTTTTTGTCATCGTGTGCTGAAAGTGCGCACGTGCCGACACCCATAATGCAATGTGTGTGCGACATCCCCCGTGCCCCTCACCCCCCTGCACATGCGTGCACGACCCTCCCACGCTCCCACCACCCCGCATATGCAGACGCAACCCCCCCATGCCCCATTTTGGTCCTAGTAGGCCTCCCTGCAGCCTCCTAGGACCAAAAATGGGCTGCCGGGGAGGGGGGGGGCTACTAGGACCAAAACTCCCGTGAATGCACATGTGACCCCCCCATGCATGTCTGCGTGTCTCCTGTATGTGCCCCGCCCTCCAGCACATTCCGGAAATCAGCTGGCCAGCTGGAGGCATGTGAGTATGTGCGCATGCGCAGTGGAGCTGAGCTGGGCGATGACTCACGTGCCCACAGAGAGGGCTCTGCGTGCCACCTGTGCAAGCATGCCATGGTTCGCCATCACGGATCTATAGGAAGAACCAGCCTAAGGACAGGAAAGTCCTCCCAAAGGAGGACAAGCAGAAAAGCAAACCATGCGTATTTTGTGACATATACTATTATCTAAACAGTATTGTGCCACATGCTAGATAATAGTTTTATTTCAGCTCATCAAAATTTTGGTTGAGGTCATGCATAAAGGTTTATCCTATTAAGAATCTTGCTAATTCCCAAGCTCTTAAAGAGACAGCAGATTATCTCGTGGCTTTTATCCTTTTTTAGAAAGTGTGTCAGGTCTCTCCTCTTTCATCTGCCATTCTCAGCTGCTGCCATGTTAACTTTACCGATCATGTATGAATTTTAATGACACTTCGGAAACAATTACTTCAGCATGTTAATTGTCACTGTCGTTCAATATGGAATACATTTTTTAAAAATAACATTGTTTCAAAGTAATGTGCTAATTGAAGTCTTCCATGAGAAGAGCCTCACATGGTAGGAATCTAAGCAGTACAGAAGCCTGAGAAGAAATTATCAAGTTAGCAGTTTGAAATCTGGATATGAAGAGTGAATTATATGTACATGATTCCTGCTACAAAAAATACTGAGAAATCGACTACTACTATTTCATAGACATTCTAAAAATAATTGCACAATTCATTTTCGCAAGAAGACAGCAATGATTTATTATGCATATGCCCTTTATGTATAAGATTAAACCCAGAGAGTAAATTTCATCAAGAGAAAATGTATTTCTCAAAACATGGCTACACTTCACAGGTTGTTTTTTTACTCTTTGTCAACTTTTAAAGGGAGTGACTGGTTCCTAGAAGGATAAAAATGTTAAGAATTGGACATTCAACTCTGATCCAAACTTCATATTCTTAGAGACTGAATCTGTTCAAGATCATTAGCTTAAGAAGGCTTTTTTTTTAAAAAAAGAATATGTTTAATGAGATTGGTTTCAAATGTTCACTTTTAAACAAGCTAAGAATACCAACATGCTAAAAAAAAGGAACTGAAAGTTGTGAAAATCATTATCTTTAAATTAACATCAACACATAAAAAATAAAAACAGTCCCACCCTGTCTTCTAAATCCCCATTACTCCTCACAGCCTTCTATATATGAATACAATATAGTGAATTGCTACACAGCATTCCAAGCACATAGAACAAAGGCATATAGCAGCAGCTATTTCCTGCCTACATTATAAATCACCACGACCACCCCTTCTTCCATTTGGCTCAAAAGAAAAGAGCTGGTGGAAATACACTCCCATTTCAATGGCTTTTGACAGATGATTCAGGGAATATAATTACTGTATCCATATAATTTAGTTTCTGAAGCAATATACAAAAAGCACATACAAAAAGAATGGCTTTGCTTGGGTGACCAAATTGCTGTTTTAAATTTAATTTGAAAGGTAAATTTTTAAAATCCCCTGGTTATTGGATAAGTAATAAAATTCAGCTGACTTAAAAAATATTTACTAGCAGCGGGAGGAGGGCGGAGTGAAATGAATGTCCAAGGAATCTTTGGTTTTTAGTTATGCTTCCCAGTCCCATTACATATGGGACTGACGAGCAGCAAACTATAAACATTCCACCAATGTAAAACATTAAGCAATTTTGCCAGTGATGCTTTTAAAGAACTTTCATAAACGTATCAAATAGATTAAACAATAGCAGCACATCTGAAAAGGAAAGAAAAGGATGAGGAAAAGAAGAAAGCATCGGACACACACACACACACAAACCCCAATTTTGATACAAAAAGCATATTAAACAAGCTTAAAACAATTGAATATTCTGATTTGAATCCAAAGGCATTTGGAATCTCGCGCTGCTGTACCCCGAGCAAAAGAATTTCAGTTTGGAAATGCAAGAAGCGAGAGAAGGAAACATGATCAATTAGATAAACAGAAATTTCATAACATTCACTGCATGCAGCTACCAAAAGGCCCGCTTAGCTCATTTGTTCAGTTCTGAAATATTTAACTTTTTACCTGATGTTCAGCATGAATGTTATCCCCAGTAGGCCACCGATGTTTGCTGTTATTATAGCTGCCTCCACCACTTCCGCCTCCCCCAAGCTGCTCACCATGCTGCCTCTGAAAGAAGTAATCCACCATTGCGTCGTCCTGGGAGCGACCTGCAACCCCTATGGATCCAGGAACAGGGCTGGAGTGGGTCCCTGCTGCAAGGGCTTGATTTGCAGCTGGCTGTGTCTGAGCCTGGGACCCTGTTCCAGATGTCAAAACAACAGGCATGTTGGGATTAGCTGTATCTTGACTGTGCTGTTTCAGGTGGGGGCTGAAAGAGTCCTGCCAGAGCACTGCTTTTCTCTTCAAAACACATGCAACGCTCATTCCACCAGTACCTGAGGGAAGACAAGTTCAAAACACTAATTAAATTGAGTCTCCCATTTCCAAAACTCACCGCTAAATACAGAATGGCCATATCAAAGAATCCTAAAATAAAGTCCCACCCGTATCATTATACTAGCTCAGCGATCCCCAAACTTTTGGGCACCAGAGACCAGTCCCGTGGAGAGAGGTTTTTCCACGGACCAGAGGCAGGGGTGGTAGTCACTTAATTTCACTACCGGTTCACAAATGTGAGCGTGGGCGTGCTTGATTTGCTCGCACGCGCCACCTCTGCGCATGCGCGGGGCCTTCCATGCATGCGCAGTGTCAAAAACGTGGATAAATGGGATGTGATTACGTCCGGGCGGGTGGGTAGAGCCACCCACGGCCGCCGCTACCGGTTCGCTCGAACCGGATAGAACCAGCTGAATATCACCACTGACAGGAGGGGGCGTGGTTTTGTGTGCTGCCTGCATCCTATAGATGGGGTTCACTTGTTTGCGTGGCCCGGTTTCTGGCATAACACAGCCTGGTGCCAATCCGTTGACCGGGGGTTAGGGACCCCTGCACTAGCTTACTTTTTCACAAGGCATTCTTGAAAGTGTACCATAGCAAACATTACTGGATGAATGCATGTATCCCCTAAATTCCTGGATGAGAAATAATTTTGCCTGCTTACACGTACACAGATTTATCTGAAACAAAATCAAGCTGACATCAGACCCACACACCATGCTAAGCCATGGTGCAACTTTGGCCATACAAATAAATTGGAATTTTTTAAAAAAAATTCAGAACACACCTGGTTTCTTTTTACATGCGCATCATCAGACACTGTGATATAAAATGCCTGACTACTAAAACCACCCAGGGTTTGTAGCTGGCTTCTAAGAACCAGAATTTTTAAACTACATGTTTTATATAGAAAATAATGTAGCACCACATTAAAAAATAATTTTGTTTAATTAAAAACAGGGAAAGGTTATAGTGTTCCATGATATTCCTCCTACTGTTGTCCATGAGATAAAGAAGTGATTATACAAATTTAAAACTTGCTCCAATTTGCATATGCACCATTAACATTGGCGTGGCAAAGAAGTGTGTATTTTCAAGGCTAAGTCATGCCTGGACTTTCATGAGCAAATAGAGCAAATAAAGGAACACAATTATTAACTACATTTGAGGTTATTCACATTCCAATGTGATTTAAATAAGGTGTTAATATATTTATAGTCTTGTAATGAATTTCTCCCTTTTGTTACATTAGAAATTGCAGAATTTTTTTTTTTTAAAGGGAGGGGTGTGTTGTCCATCAGAGGAAAAACTATTTGAAGAGGTTCAGGGGGAAAAATCAGCACACACAAAGATGAAATGTAAAAGGGATTCTTAGTTCCCCTACATTTGGAAGCACCACGGATAAAGTATTCCCCTTACACACCCCTCACTACTACAGTGTGGTATCAGCAACTGCTTTTCATTTTAAGTAAGATATAGTTCCCAGTTTAGTTGGAATTCAAGAAAAATGTGATCATGGCTCATTTTCGCTAACCAAGAATTAAAGCGCAAATTTAAGGAAGAAAATATGGTTTCTTTAAAACTGGAAGTAAATCTTCCTCTTTGGATGCAAAAGAATAATAGAGAGCACATTCTAAGGATTCAAACACGTGTGAGGATAAAGAGATTGAACGACACAATATTCACAAGCAAAAGTGCTAAAGGTGTATTTGTATGAAACGGTCTTTACTCATGTTTCCATACACTAATACTTTTCACACATCTATCATCTCAAAGAGGGAAAAAAAAGAGACAATTCGGTATGGCAGCTTAATCAACCTATATTTGGATACCAACATTACAAAGCTTCCAGTTTTGCTATTTATATAAATATAGTAACAACCATTTATTAACAAAGTATGGTCAAATGAAAGTATTTATGTAAATGAAATTATTTCAATCTGCATTCATTAAGTATAACTGATTTTTTTAATTATTTTTTAATTATTTTTTTGTTATTTGGAGCTATAGCTCCAAAACCAAACAATGGATTTTTCAAGTATGAAAACATTCTCCAGTTTAGAGTTGTTGCTCATCCTACAGTGATGGCAAAGAAGTTGCACTATAATTGACAATTTTTTTAAATTAACAGATAAATGAAATACATATGTTGGCTTTCTACTCTTCAGACTAGCTTAAGCAGGAAAAATGTGTTTCAATGTAACAAAACAATGAAAAAGAAAAGTAACAAAGCCACGAGGCAGATACTGCAATCTCTAAATTTAGACACCCACTGAAATCAGAACTACTGTACTCTAATCAGTTTTTTGAAGCATAGCCAGCCAAATTGTCCTTGGGAAGGAAAGCCACAAAGTAAGTACTTCTACTACAGGCCTACAACTGAAGTAGTAAAGAATGGGAGCGAGGGAGTTTCCTAAGCGGAGCAAAGAGGGAAAATTTGGAAAGCATATTGAGAAATTCCATTTCTTAAAATTATTTGGTATATGAATAACAGTAAATAAATCATGCAACCAGCATGCATGCCGTTAATCAAATAAGAGCTGCACTTATTTTGTTCAGGTGAACTGTTCCTCTGAAACATAGTTGAACTTCAGGATATTCCACTGAGCTAAGGTGTGCATTATTACAACATGAAACTTTTCGTGGCCCAGGAGTCTGAGCATTTTCCAGAAGATGGCTCTGTGCTTGGTCTGACAAGCCACAGGAGAGCTGCAATCAACAGATTTCATGATTTCAATAAAATCTGGGGAAGCATCTTCACACCCCGTAAGATGCCACAATTCTTGCCACTGTATAGGGATATTACAATGGAATGACATACCTTTCTGATTTTCCAAAGCAGGGGTCTCCACCCTTGACAACTTTAAGTCTGGAGGACTTCAACTCCCAGAATTCCCCCGATAGTCATGCTGGTTAGGGAATTCTGGGAGTTGAAGTCCTCCAGGCTTAAAGTTGCCAAGGGTGGAGACCCCCGTTTTAAAGGACATGTCAATGAAATGCACTCTGAGAAACATAGGGAGATTCAGGCAATCAATAGTAGACACGGTGACTATATGAGACATTCAGAATCCATGGCAGGTTATCTTACACGCCAGTTCCTACTGAACAATATTGTGAGAAGTAACAGTAACAGAGTTGGAAGGGACCTTGGAGGTCATCTAGTCCAACCCCCCCGGCTCATGGAGACCTATACTAGGGATTCGAACCACCGACCTTTCTGATCGACAAGCTCAGCTTCTTAGCCACTGAGCCACCTAGGGAGCCACAGTGAGAGAACCACTCATTACCTTTCCACTCGGTTAAGTTTCCTAAATCCATCAAGTTGAATGAAATGGTCTTTGGTCTGATTCATCAGAATTATTCTTTTCTTATATAATAGAGGAAATCCTAAAATTCCATATCACTAGCAGGATTATCAAAAATTGTCATCCCTCGCCAATAACCGATTGGCCCATTCGACATGCCATTCACTGGAGCAATAAGAAAAAGTAAAGTAAGCAGTTGCCTAGAATTTCTAGAGCTTTCAGGAGGGATTTGATCCTTAGTTTGTTTCCATTGATATCCTCAGAGAGTTAGCAGGATCTAGAGCACCTTTGGCTAAAAAGGGAAAAAAGAACTAATGTAAAAGGAAAATTGTTACTGGGTTGTTTTTTTTGCAAGGCTAAATTGGGGTATAAGCTGTTATGCATCAGTTGTTTCTCTGCTGTATTTAGTGATAACAAGCTATTTGTTATTTGTCTTAATCTTTGTTATAAATTTAAATGCTGTGAATGGCTTTGTCAACTTTTTAGATCAAAAGTGAGTGCTGTACATGGGCCTGGGAAGCTTATCTTTAATTCTTTTTAAAAAAAATAATTTAAGAGGTTTTGAGATAATTTTAAAAAAAATTAAGTCAATATATTTTGCACTGCACTGCATTCGAGATTTTTGTGTTGCATTAATGCTCCTTGTCAATCCACCTGTCTCAAGATATAAAGGCAAATCCATATGACAAAAGACCATCTTACTACAAGAATAGTAGCAGCAACAATGAGGTCGATTGGTGGAAAACATTATCAATTCTTTCAGTGAGAGACTGCATATATTGAAAATGTTAAGGGTAAAAGTGTTATTTTTCTATATTCAAAATTCAAAGAAAAGCCTATGGCATTGTAACAATTCTTAACTACTGAAATAAAACACTTTCATCATCCAGGCCCAAATCAATAAATAGTGCTTGAGGAAAATAATAATACTGGTGCGTATGTTTCTGTACATCTTCCCCTGTAAGTCCATTTCTTGTATGGATGTTTGCGTAGTATCCGTTCTATTCATGAACATGGAAAAGAAAGTGTCCCATGCAATGTCACCCCTGCATTGTTGCTTGCAAAATTGTTAAGAAAACTAACTGTATTGTGTCTTCCGGAGAACTCAAGAATACCATGCAATGGTTAGAATGTTAGTTAGAAACACTGGAGCTTAGATCAGCTCAGAACCTCAGAAGATCTAAGGTGAGACATTTGCCCTTAGTCAACACCTATCTATCACACAGGACCACAACTAAGATGACAACAAAAGACTCTGTAGGCTGCAGGAGCTATATGGAAAAAGGGTAGGCTAAACTATGATGAAGGAGTTAGTCACTTTCTCCTCAGAATCTTAGCAAGCATCAGTACTACCAACAGTCATTCAGCAATAGATTTTTATCTGCCATCCGCAAGGCATCCCAAAATGAGTAAGACTGACAAGTTTTGAAAGGCAAATGGGGAACAGCATCATAGGAAAATTAAGTGTAAAATTTTTGTATCACCGCATGGAAACAGGTGACACTGAGCCTGATCATTCAGGCGATTGAGAAGTGAACCCCATATCACATCTGGGGGGGGGTTGTTGTTCATTTAGCCCATTTCTTTACCTCCCCCTCGTTTACAAGAAGACATTATAATACACCTTGTATTTACTTTGTATTACAGAATTATCAAGATGCTTAATGGAATTAAATGTCCTGGAAAATTCTAGAACCTACCTAGATAAGATTCACCTGTCATGGTGTACATTTGACTAGAATGTCAAGAATGCTGTTGCCTAGAAATCAGAGGAATGGTTTAAACTCTATAGTTCAACAAAAATGCAAAACTTTCCTCAAACAGGCATTCTAAAACTGACAGATTACAATTCCCATCTACCCTAAATTAGCTTGTTAAGAACTGAAGACAAAAAGCCCATCTAGGGTTTATCAACTATCCCTTATCAAAAGTCCATTGCCACTAGGAGAAAATAGCACACTAAACTTCTACTACTTTCATTTTTCACGCAACAAAAATATTTACGTTAAAGTCCTGGTGTACAATTTGAAACACATTGTTTTAAGAATATTACAACTCAGTATGTTCAGGTCTCATGATCACCACTGCCTTTTTAATTTCCCTACTTTGAGCCCCTAAATTGTTTTTGGTTTTGATTCAGTTTCTGGTGAGATTTATTTCTAGTTACCATATAGTTTGTTAATGTACTTTTCAATAAAAAGTTATGCCTGCTACAAATTACCCAGTGTTAAGATGGAACGGAAATTAAAACATGATCACAAAAACCGATGGTGTATTAATGTTTTGCTGAACAAACCAAATCTGTCTGGATTCACACAAGCCAAATCTAAATAAATCACTTTGCAGCTGAGCACAATGTGAAGCTACACATAGCGTACATACAAGCACACATATGTATGTGCACTCATTTGTGTGTGTATATATGTGAACAGTTTGAAATAAACTCAAAAATCAGTTTGGTAAAGAAGAAAACAACTGCCTAAATAGAACATTTAAATGTAAAACTATACTTTGAAAGTCCCATGCAAGAAAATATTTTTTAAATACCTCTAGTCTAAATACCTGTAATTTAAACTTATCTTATTAAGCCATCAAAACTCTTTAGTGCAAAACCTGAAATCAGCTGTTTCCCCTCAAACTGCCTTCAAATTATACAACCTAAAAACATTGGGTGAGAACCCAAAATAGTGGCCTGATATAGGACATAATTCCCCACACACAAACATGGGGAGTAATACAGTGGCCAATCACTATCAGTAAACATGTACAGAATCAGGCTACATTGTTAAAATTGTTGCCGAAATGCAATCTAAACAACTGAAAACTAACAAATCACACAAGTGTGTCCTGTTCAAACAAACATTTGATAAGTACAACAGGACTGACTCCTGGATATGTACTGACTGCACGGTAAAATACTGCTATGCCTTTTCCGTAGGACAAATTCACACACTATAACAATAGGCCACCGGGTTCTCTCTTCCATAACTGCTTTGTTTCCAAACTGTTTGGCCAAAACTAACTTGAAGCTGGAACAGCCGAAGGCCTAAGAGAAGAGAAGAAAACAGCCTCCTGTTGCTGGCTTCCTTACGGACCAAAACATAAATTTTAAAAAAAGTTATGTAAGCGAAGCCAAGAAAGAAAAACCTTTATTTCCCCCCCCCCAACCTCCTCTTCAATTAGGGGGAAAAAAATAATAAACTCAAGAGCACTTTTTTTTTTAATTTGCCTTGTTAATCCTAAACATTACTTAAGTCAAAAAGCAATCCCAATTATACATCCCTACCAAAGCGGCACAGCTTTGAATGCAAGGCAACAAAAAGGGTTGAATTCTTAAAAGAGACCACTCCATCCAGCCCAAAGCTTCATTGATGACACCCAATACACCCCACCCCCCCACCCCAAAAAAAACCAGATAAAACTTTCCCCTAAGAGCTTGGGCAGAAGAAGTCACGTACTCCATTTCCTGCATATACGTGTTAATTAGGCATCACCTACCCGCCTTCCCCATCCTAGTTATTTTCCCTTGTCTTACTTTCCTCTCCCCCCCCCCCCCACCCCACGCCCCACAACCCCACTTTCCTTTCAAAACCACGATGGAGTTGGATGAAGCCAGGGAAAGCCCCCCCCCCACTCCCACTCGAGAAATCACCAAGCTGCCTTCCTGGCTGTTTGGAAAGAAGTATCTAAAAGGCCAACCAAGCGCTCCTCCTCCTTTCCCCCAAAAGAAAAGCGCCGGGGAAGGAAAGGGGGGGGGAGGAAAAATAAAATAAAGCCAAGCCGCAGTTGGGGGAGCCTAAGGAAACCCCCCCCCTTTTTTTTTCTTTTCTTAGGGTCGTCTGAACGGCCTCCCCTTGTCCCCCAAAAGAAGCGGCTCGCCTTTCTTCTCCCCTTCCTGGGAACAACAATAGAGGCCTTGCTCGGACTCGAAAACATGTACCAGGAACAAGCGCGAGGAAGAGCCTCGGCAAGAATTGCCCGCCCAGGGCCGCCTTTCGGAGGGCCCTCGCCGCCTCGGCCGAAGCCCTAACCCCAATACGGTTCCACCATCGGGCCTCCTGGGGTCCGGAGTCCCGTTCTAACCCACTTCGGTCCGGATACTCACGGGCGGAACGGTAGGATGAAGACGGATCTCAACGGCCCCCCCCTCCCCCCGGCCTCTAGCTCTGGCTGCCGCTCCCCCTGCCTTTCACTTCAACAACATGGCGGCGCACTGGGGACTCGGGGAGGCGCGCTGCATTCTGGGAAGTTGAGGCTGGAGCGCGAGAGAAGCTCGGGCGCCGCGGAGTTTCACCCACGGCGTGGCGGCGGGATCCGGGGAAGCCAAGAAAGAAAGGGAGGGGAAAGGAAAAGAAGGGAAAGGGAAGGGGAGGGCCTTTCGGGCAGGGTTTGTTCCCACCCAAGAGAGAAGTTGCATTGGATCTCCGTGCATTCTTCACAGGGGCAACAAAATGCCCATCGGGCACTTGCCAAGAGGGTTGGTTTTTTTGGGGGGGGGGGGCTGAGTGAATGACCCATTGGAGTTAACAGACGCGGGTTAACAAGAACGTTGCATTCACAAATGCAGTGATCCAGCGCAGGAGAGAGGGGGAGGGAAAAAAGCTGATCCCCCTATTGCAGACAATACGTTGCAATCACCTGGCTTGGCTAGGTGGCTCAGTGGCTAAGACACTGAGCTTGTCGATCAGAAAGGTCGGCAGTTCGGCGGGTCAAATCCCTAGTACAGGTCTCACTGAGTGAGCAGTGGGTTGGACTAGATGACCTCCAAGGTCCCTTCCAACTCTGTTACTTTACTGTTACCGGTGCCTGCGCTGCAAACTAAACCCGCCTGCCGTCGGTGGTCCGAGCGAGTTGTGGGGAACCCCAGGGGCCAAACGAAAAGGAAAGGAGACGGAGTGGGGCAGCTTGGCTCGACAGGCAGAAACCCGAGAGGGTAAACTCTCTCTCTCTCTCTCTCTCTGCCCGCAAGATTGCCCGCAAGATACGGGCAAGGCTTGGAAGCTTTGATGACCATAATTGCACTTGGGGAAAAGAAAAAAAAAAAGTTTCACTCGGTGTTTTTTCAAACTTGGCAACTTTTAAAGGCGTGCGCACTTCCAACTCACAGAATTCCCCAGTTAGCATCCTGGTTTAAAGTCCAAATAGTATGGATCAAGCAGGGTGGGTGCATTCGGGTCCTCCTAGCAAGACTGTGGAGTGATTCACGAGTGGGGTCCTGTTTTTCCAGTCAGTTGTGAGCTTTATATACATACCCTTTTTCCCGAAAAACAAGACATCCCCTGATGATAAGCCCAATCGGGCTTTTGAATGCATGCGTTAAAATAAGCCCCCCCCCCGAAAATAAGCCCTCCCTGAAAATATTTAAACACATGCGCAGCTGGTCCCCACATTTCCTCTGGTTAGGGTTAGGGAGACAGCTGGAAATCAGGTAAGATGGCAAGAGGAGCCTTGCATCTTGCTCCACAACCCCAAAATAATAAGACCTCCCCAAAAATAAGGCCAAGTGGGTTCAAAAAAAAATATAAGACAGGGTCTTATTTTCGGGGAAACACGGTATATAGTTTTGTATTTGGAACCTGCACAGTATCGTGAAAGAATTAGACAGCTTTGATATTCGATGACATAAATACAGTATCCCTAACAAGTTGGCTACCACTACATGATACATCTAAAAATTAAACTAATGTTAGTCTTTTGTCCAAACCCAGCTGCTTGGCTTCTAGCAGGTTATAATAAACCTAGTTAAAGGTGTCATGTGACCCGAGCCATACCAGTGGAAAACACTAACTATTTTATTAATGAAAACTGCTCCAACTTCTCTCCTTGCCTATAAACACCCCACCAACACAATTGTTCTTTCACCCACAGAAGGCCATTCCATATTCTTGGCAGCAGAGGAAATCCGCTCAACCCAATTTCGCTCCCTCACCAGTTGAGACATGTTTCAGAATAGCAAGCACAAGATGGCACCATTCTCACAAGATGGAGTTGAACATGGTGGGAAAATGCCCAGTTTCTCCTGAGGCCTGAAGGGTGCAGAGTTGCTACTTTTACTCGGTAAACCAGTGTGATCTTATTCAATTTCCTCCAACTTTATGCCAGTTTCCTGCTTTGCAAATATGGACTTGACATCCATACACATCTTGTCAATCACTTTTTTTTAATGAGAAAGATTTGCTAAATGCCCATCCAAATCAAGCTTCCAGATCCTCCTCCTGCAAACTTTCTTACCTGAAAGATAGGACGGTGCTCACTTGATTTACCTTAAGAATCACAGATTAAAACGAAGGGTGAATACAGGTAACAAATTAGTAACCTGTGCTTTCTAAAAAACCTTTCCTACAGAAACGGAACACAGTAGCGCTTTCCAATGAATATTAGACAATATTAGCAAGGGAGAATTTTTTTAAAAAATTTGATTTATATGCTGCCCTTCTCCGGAGACTCAGGGCGGCTTACAATACGTTAAGCAATAGCCTTCATACTTTGGTATATTTTATACAAAGTCAGCTTATTGCCCCCACAAACTGGGTCCTCATTTAACCTACCTTAGGATGGAAGGCTGAGTGAGTCAACTTGAGCCTGGTAAGATTCGAACCTGCAGTAATTGCAGGCAGCTGTGTTAATAACAGGGTGCATTAAACCACTGTACTACCAAGAATTGTGACTAGGTCTTTTCAAAGCAAAGCTCAAACTCCCCAGATATATAACAGTATTTCCAAAAACTATGCTTTTAAAAGAACTGCAGACCTGATACATCTACATAATCCAGATTGAAGTAAATTTATTACAGATAAGGACTGGGATATAAACCAGCCTTGTTGTGTGAACTTATATTGTGGTTTGTCAACTGTGTTTGTTTTTGTTTAGTCCAGTGTTTCTCAACCTTGGTAGCTTGAAGATGGGTGGACTTCAACTCCCAGAATCCCCCAGCCAGTGCTGCTGGCTGGGGGATTCTGGGAGTTGAAGTCCACCCATCTTCAAGCTACCAAGGTTGAGAAACACTGGTTTAGTGTATTGAGTGGAAGGATCTTATTGTGCTTTATTCCATGCGTTACTAGGATAACATGCTGTGTGAACAGGCATCTCTATCCAATATACAAGATTCGGCTTCCAGTGCCACACTACGCATCTGTAACTTTAAAAAAAAAAAAGAAAGAAAGTGGGCGGTGCGGAGTTACACAAAGAAAAGTCCCTCTGGAAACCTCTTAGTTATAAATACAGATGATCGACTTTGTGGACTCCATGTCCCGCCTTGCATTGCTTTTCCAGGATATGAAAGGTGCACCCATTCCATTGCCCCTGTGCATTCTGGGACTCGTAGTTCCTGCAAGTATACGTCGTCGTTAAAGGAACCGTTCCTTTGAAATCCGGCAACGAGGAACAATGCAGGAAGAGGAAATCACCAGGTTGAAAGGAAAAAGGAAGGATTTAATAAAAAAAAAAAAGCCACTCTTAATAAGGTTTCTGGATTCTTTACCGCTCTGGCAATTTTATTATTAGCCCTTGATATTTATAGAGTATCAGCCCAGCAACAGAAATATATACCCATTATAACTCTGGAGAATTTTGGAACATCGTAATTCTATGACTCGACAGCAAATCGAAGTTACGAAGTTTGTTTTAAATGAAAGCATGGAATCAATTATATTTTATTTGAAATAAAGAGCTATCAATAAAATAAGAAATAAATGGAAATAAAGAAATAAAAGAATTTGTTACTTAGGATCTAGAAAACACTGACAGAATATGTATGATTTAATTTTTTAAGTAGCGTGTTTGGACATGGAAAACGACATACATACCACAGCCCATTGGCTGTAGTTCTCTTTTTATTGTCCAGAGTGTTGAGTATAAAAGATTATCTTTTGATTTCAGACTTTGGACGTATTCTCATGATGTACAAAGCCACAAATGTCTTGTGTGTTGTTCTGAGGCCAGAGAACTGGATTAATGGTAAGAATAGTGTGCAGGCACTCCTGCTTTCATTTTACATAGATTTACAAACCTAACCTAAGCCACTTTGGGGCTTTATAGAGAAAGGTTCCTCAAATTTATTTTATTTATTTATTTATTCAGTGTATATAGCCACCCATTTCATTTCCAGGACCCTGGGCGGCTTATGATGAAAACATATAATTCCAAGGACTTATCCAAACATATCCAAGGACCAAAATAATAAAGCAACCGTACAAACAATGTAAAATGTTTAAAAACAATTTAAAGCCATATAATATAGTCACCAGAAAAGGACAGTCATTCAAGAACACCTGTCATTTCAGGGGCTCATACTGCTCTCTAATCCCCAGGTGAGATGGCAAAGCCAGATCTTCACGCCCTTCCGGAAAGTCATCAAGGTTGGGGTCAGCCTGATCTCATGGTCAGCAGCTGCCATGTAAATCCCATCAAGCCAGTTTACCTTAATGTTTCAGACTCTGCCCTCCGCAAATCAAACCCTTGACTTCTCAAGAGCTTACCTCTGCTGTTTCTACTTCCAACTCCATTAAAGGCAATTTGGAAAATAAGAGATTTTGTTGGCCGATGATGAAGTTGCAAAGCCAATAATAAGAAGCAGTGGGGAAATCCAAATTTTTTTTACTACTGGTTCTGTGGGCGTGGCTTGGTGGGCGTGGTGTGGCTTGGTGGGCGTGGCAGGGGAAGGATACTGCAAAATCTCCATTCCCACTCCACTCCAGAGGAAGGATGCTACAAAATCCCCATTCCCTCCCCACTCCTGGGGGAAGGATATTGCAAAATCTCCATTCCCACCCCACTCTGGGGCCAGCCAGAGGTGGTGTTTGCCGGTTCTCCAAACTACTCAAAATTTCCGCTACCGGTTCTCCAGAACCTGTCAGAACCTGCTGGATTTCACCCCTGGTAAGAAGTAAAAAAAAAATATTGTCCAGCTCCCAGTATAAGATCTACTACTACTACTACAAATTACTTATTCCAACTCCATGCAAGAGAAAAAAATAAATTGTTGCACACATGCACACAAACACACATCTGTGTTCTTTTTTTCCACATTGTGCTTATTCCTCCGATTTGTGGATTTGTTTCTCTGATTTGTAGATCCCATCAGAGGGAACTTCAGATCTATTCAACTTGTGTGGTACAGTGCTGAAGTGTTATACACCCAATTTTAAATCGACTCTTAGCTGAACTGTTCAATGCACTAGCATTATCTCTTCATGAGTGAAGGCAAATATACAGTATGTGTCCCAGGATAATGTTGCAGAATCCAATCTGGGTCGCTCACCGGGACCAGAGGTTTAGTCTTCCGAGCTTTTGTTAGAAATTCCCCAAGGATGGATTCCAGCACGAGTCTAGAAGCTTGGAAGATATAACCCGTGGTCCCAGGGGATCACTGAGATCACCAGACTGGATCCTGAGACTCTTAGCTCTTCCCTTTTTCTCAATCCAACTTGCCTTACAGGGTTTGTACCTGTTGTTTCTTGTCTGGTTTCAACCCCAAACAAATCCAGAGTGTACTTTGAACCTAAAGTAAAGTACACAGAACAAATTCTCAAAGTGAACAGGGCAAATTCTCAAAGTACCTATCTTGAATGGGCTTTCAAGATTAGCAGTGCTTATGATGAATTATTTAGATGAGAGACGGACCCTCCCTCCAGATAGTTATGGCATGGATCACACAGGGATTGGCCATGGAATAGGCCGGCTGGCGATGGTGGGCACTGAAGCCAAAATTATACAGAGGGCATTAATTTTCCTTGCTAAAATAGAGGAACTAACAACCTTTTTGTTATGTTTTGTTATGGATTGCACCAGTAGAGGCTAAATCAATTTCGTTGTATATATGTACAATGACAATAAAGATTATTATTCTTTTATTCATTAAACATGAAACTCACTCAACTGAACATTTAAAAATGTATCATAAATACCATTGACTGGTGCTAATGGTTAATAATAAGTTGCTGCCAGCGTTCTAGGTATCAACCAAGTATCTTCTTAAAATATATGATGTTCTGAGTAGGGTAGTTTTTTGCAGTTTCGCTGGTGTTATTGCAGGAAGCTGCCATTTCTTGATGTGTTTTGTAAAATTCTTGGACATGGTACCAAGTGGCCAGATGACAATGGGTATCTCTGTTACATGTTTCATCCATAGCTGTGTAGTTTCAATGGCCAGGTCGTGATATTTCATGATTTTTATTATTTTTTTTATTTTATTATTATTATTATTATTATTATTATTATTATTATTATTATTATTACCGTGTTTCCCCCAAATTATATTTTTTGAACCCCGAAATAAGTGCTTGGCCTTATTTTCGCTGAGGTCTTATTATTTTGGGACACGTGGAGTAAGACAGGGCTCCTCTTGACATCTTACCTGATTTCCAGCTCTGTCTCCCTAACCCTAACCAGAGGAAATGGTGGGGACCGGCTGTGCATAGGTTTAAATATTTTTGGGGAGGTCTTATTTTCCAGGGGGGCTTATTTTAGCGCATACACACAAAAGCCCAATTGGGCTTATTATCCGGGGAGGTCTTATTTTTTGAGAAACAGGGTATTATTATTTTATTATTATTATTTGTTGTTGTTGTTGTTGTTGTTGTTGTTGTTGTTGTTATTATTATTATTATTATTATTATTATCCTTTGATGAAAGAAACATACTGAACTCCAGCATATCTTCTAGAGATCAGTATGGCTCTCGGCTACCAAAAAGTTATTCCTCCCTAATTTATGGTATGAATTAAACTGTTTGTATGATATAAAGAAAACTATTATGGTTTATTCCAGATACCATAATTTAGACCACTGTGTGGCCCCAGTTTATCAGCTAATCAGCACAATGACACAATTCATCAGTTAATTGATTAAGAATTTTCCTCATATGCCTTACGAAGGAACGTTTCGAGCTATCACAGAGGAAACACTTCCACTTGCTTCTGAATAGACAAAGAGAAGATTACATAGCTAAAGTCAAAAGGCTGCCTACATCTACCTCTTTCACCTTTTCTTCTCCGTTAAATTCCCATGTAGGGATCTTCTCATATTAGACTGTTCAGAAAAAGGGGGAAATAGGTGCAGAAAGCTATATTTTGCCATTATTATATTGTGATTTCTATGTCAAAATTAGCTTGCACACTCTAAGCACTTAAAACAGGGGTCGAGTTTTTCAACTCTGTACAATATTAAATATTTGTGGTTGGGTGCCATGTTGGGCAAGTGGAGAAACTTGCAAATTGTTCTACCCAGATGCAAAGATTGAATAGGATAAAGCATCTTGTTCCTCAAAGATTGAGTAGGATAAGCACCTTGAGTAAGATCAGCATCTTGTTCCTCAAAGGTCGTGTAAGATAAAGCATCAAGAAAGAGGATGCTTCCAGTTGCTGTGTCAGGGAATGTCTTTATTTTTCAGTCCACCATATAATCGTACATTACCTTTTTCAATGCTTAGGAAGTTTTCAATGCTGGGAATTGAAGTCCCCACATCTTAAAAGCTGACAAGTTTGAGAAACTGCACTCAGCACTGTTCTATCAAGGAGGCACCCTGTACCCTGTGAAGACTTATTCCAACAGAATATTTCTGCAAGAATATTGCACCAGAGATATTTAAGGCAGGGGTCAGCAACCTGTGGCTCTGGAGTCACATGTGGCTCTTTTCACCCCTCTGCTGTGGCTCCCTGTCACTCAAAATATGCATCACAACCGCCAATGTGTGACACCCGCCAGCACGTGATTTATTGAGCTTTTCAACCCCTGGTAGGCCAACCATGGATAAATCCAAGAAAAGAAAAGTTTCAGAAGAGAACAAAACGTTTAATTCAACTACATATGCTAGTTTTGTGGCTGCTCAAGAAATAGTCAGGCACGGAAAGGGTTTTGTGGCTCCTGGTGTTTTCTTTTCTGTGGGAAACCGGTCCAAATGGCTCTTTTGAGTGTTTAAGGTTGCAGACCCCTGATTTAAAGAAACAGGAAGAATCTGACAAAACAGATCTGACGTTCTATTTGTTTGAGAAATTTCAAGCAGCTTTTCAACAATCCACAGGAAATCTGGCAGACAGCCATCCCAATAGGTACATTTTATTTTATATACAGGTAGTCCTCGATTTACAACGGTTCGTTTAGTGACCGTTCAAATTACATCATCACTGAAAAAAGTGACTTACGACCATTTTTCACACTTACGACCGTTGCAGCATCCCCATGGTCAGGCGATCAAAATTCAGATGCCTGGCAACTGGTTCATATTTATGACAGTTGCAAATGTTCTGGGGTGATGGGGATCAGCTTTTGCGACCGTGTAACAAGCAAAGTCAATGGGCAAACCAGACTCACCTAATCACCGTGTTACTAACTTAACACTTGCAGTGATTCACTTAACAACTGGGGCAAGAAAGGTTGTAAAATGGGGCAAATGTCTCGCTTAATGACAGAAACTTTGGGCTCAATTGTGGTTGTAAGTGGAGGACTACCTGTATATCCCACCTTTCCACCAACAGAGCATACAGAGCTCCCCCTTCCCCCCACTTTTCCCCCCATGAAAGCCCTGCTGAGTAGATGAGAGACAGTAATAGGTCCACGTTATCCAGGAGGATCCAAGATTAAGGCTGGACTTCATGTTTAGAAGACACTGAAAAGCAGGTGCAGATGGCAGTTCAGCATAATGTTATGCTTATGCAGTCTGGCACATCAGTGAGAGTCAGGGACACCATTTCAGAGAAAGCTTTTAAGAAGGTTAGAGTAGGGATGGGGAATTTCTGACCATGCTGATGCCAAAAATGCCCCCTACTATTTTTCCCCTATGGCCACGCTAATGGCTTCCATGGTACTTCAGAAATAGCAGGGCCTCCGGAAAATAGCATTCCTTATCGTTGGTACAGAAACAGCAGAAAGACTTCGTACACCATCTTTTAATCTATTCACAGTAGTGGCCAAAATTGTGGAAACCCAACATCTTCTTAAAAACTTCCAGTGTTGGAGCATTCGCAACTTCTGAAGGCAAGTTGTTCCACTGATTAACTGTTCTAACAGTCAGGAAATCTCTTAGTTCTAATTTGCTTCTCTCCTTGATTAGTTTCCATCCATTGCTTCTTGTTCTACCCTCAGGGACTTTGGAGAATAGCTTGACTCCCTCTTCTTTGGGGCAGCCCCTGAGATATTGGAAGACTGCTATCATGTCTCCCCTAGTCCTTCTTTTCATTAAACTAGACATACCCAGTTCCTGCAACCGTTCTTCATATGTTTTAGCCTCCAGTCCCCTAATCATCTTTGTTGCTCTTCTCTGCACTCTTTCTAAAGTCTCAACATCTTTTTAACATCATGGCGACCAAAACTGAATGCAATATTCCAAGTGTGGCCTTTTACAACCGTGTTGCTCACTTAACTGCGGCAAGAAAAGTCGTACAATGGGTCAAAATTCATTTAAAACTATCACTCAGCAACGGAAATTTTGGGCTCAATTGTGGCCATAAGTTTAGGACATACCTGCATTAGGGTTGCCAACATAGGCCTTGTGGAAGAGTCAGAATGAAGCAAGGCCACAAGTTTCTTCATTTCCACTTTCGGAAGGGAAAGGCTGGGGAATTCTGGGAGTTAAAAGCCCACGTTGAAAAATACTGATTTAAAATCAGTGCTTTTAAATTTAAAATTAAAAAGGATAATAGTTCTACAAGGGAGAGGGGATAAAAATGGAAGACTGGTTTGCAAGGACGTACTTGGCTTTTGCTAGTGAAGTTAGAAACAAGTGGGACCCATCCTGTGATCGCCATGGTATGGATATGGAATCTCAGATTACAACAGGGTCTCTCAACCTTGGTACCGTATTTTTCAGAGTATAAGACGCACCTTTTTCCCCCCTAAAAGAAGCTGAAAATTTGGGTGCATTATATACTCTGAATGTAGTTTTTTTCGAAGCTTTTTTTCAGCCCTAACGAGGCGCTAACGAGGCACTAGCAAGCCCTCCACTCTCCACTGTGCTTTAACAATGCACTAGCAAGTGAAGCAATCGACTGTCAGCTCTTCTTTAAAAGCTTTTTTTCAGCCCTAACTAGGCGATAACAGAGTGAAGCAATCTCCCCATGCTTTGCCTGCTTTTCTCATTGCTGCTTCCTCTCAGCTGTGCCTTAGAAGCTGTTTTTTTATCCCCAAGCAGGGGATAAAAAACCAGCAAACTAATGTCCTGAAGCTGACCAGACGAAGGACGCTAGCCAGATGAATACCTGTTAGGCAGATTTTTTTTTTCCTATTTTCCTCCCCAAAAACTAAGCTGTGTCTTATACTCCGGTGTGTCTTATACTCCAAAAAATATGGTAGTTTGAAGATGTATGGACTTCAACTCCCAGATGCCCTCAGCCAGCATGCTGGCTGGGGAATTCTGGGAGTTGAAGTCCATACATCCCGAAGTTATCAAGGTTGAGAAACACTGGATTAGAATCTGCAGTGTAGAGTAGCCATGGGTTCTTAGGCCATCCACCACACATCTAAAAGATGCTCATCCCCATTAAAATATTATTTTTTGACACAGAAAGTGTCAAAATTTCATGTATCCATACATTCTGCAAGACTTCATGTGGAAATCATAAGATTTCCAGTGCTTCTTTGCAAGATCTCAGGACATCTTGCAGAATGTTATGGGAGCTCTTCTGGCAGAGCCTGAAGACTAAACAAGGTTGCCTGCTTGTCATCACTGATCTCATGACCCTTCAACCACAGGAGGCTTACACAGGTGTGTAGGAAAGACTCGAAGCCCCTTTACAAAAGAAATCCCAAAGAGATACACAAAAATGGTTTGTACACCGATCTTCACCCATCATACCTCCCCTTCCTAAGAACACCGTTTTCCATCTCTAGAATCAAGAAGTTATCATCTCACGCTTTTAGTGGAAGAGAGGTGGTGTCCTCTGAAGAAAAATAAACCATGCATGCCCAAATAGACCTCCATTTGACGGGCTCCATTTTATTTCTGACTACGGATATGTTTAACTGGTGTTCTTTAACTGATGTTTTGATTACCGTATTTTACGGAGTATAAGACGCTCCGGACTATAAGATGCACCTACCTTTTTTGGGGAGGAAAACAAGAAAAAAAAATCTGCTTCTGCCTCCCAGCAATTTTACTCCTTGTAGCAAACAGCCCGTTTCAGTTTCCACTTCAGCACAGTCTGATTAGCACAAGCAGCTGATTGTCAGTTGGATCAGCCTCCCAACCATCAGCTGTTTCAGGCTGCATGGATTACCATAACCTATTGCCATGTCTGTGCGCCCCATTTTCTGCCTCCGCATCCCATTTTCAGCCTCCGCATGCCCTGTTTTCGGCCTCTGTGCACCCCATTTTCCGCCCGTTGCGGGGGGGGGGGGATTGGAATGGGCAATAGGCAGTGGCAATCCCTGAAGCCTGAAACAGATGATGGTAGGGAGGCGGATCCAACTGACAATCAGCTGCTTGTGCTAATCAGACTGTGCTGAAGTGGAAACTGAAATGAGCTGTTTGCTGCACGGAGGCAAATTGCTGGGAGGCAGAGGCCAAAGGGTGGGGGCCAGTGGGTGGGCTTGGCTACATTCAGTGTGTAAGACGCACCCAAATTTTCACCCTCTTTTAAGGGGAGAGGGAAGTACGTCTTATACTCCGAAAAATATGGTAGGTTTTTCAGGGGTTCCTCTCAGAGCCTACATTATATCAGCCCCCCTACTTTTTTCCTCACTTTTGTCTGCCTTTTCTCTCCCTTCCTCTTAACCTGAAAGCTGAGTTGGAAGAAAAAATTCTGGCTGTACATCAGAAATGGAATGCTTCTGAAGTCGATTTGGAGGCAACCATGCGATCTCTAGTTTCAAAGACGAAGCAGCTTAAAAAATATTCACTAAAGGATGGAGCACATGTTACAGATTTCAGACCCTAGTCAACTTTCCTTTCCATTACCCACCTTTTATTTCATGTTCCATTCATTTTATTCCTTTACTCCTTTTCGTTATTGCAAAATATTGCAACCTACAGATTAACGCGCTGAAAGTCATTTGCTCAGACAAGAAGCGTCCCAGAATTATTATTATTTTTTTTAGAAAAACCAACCAACAAAAGAAAAATCTGACCCCCCCCCCCAAAAAAGAAAAAAGGATCTCGCTTAGAAAAGGATTCTCCTCATCTTGGGAGACAAAGAATTAGATCCCAGGTTTGAAGGATTGACCAGTGTGAACCAGTGACAGTACACAGCTTGGCCAGTAGGTGGAGTCCTGAGCTTGTTTTGGCTCCGAGGTCTTTTTTTAAGCAGAAACTTTTAGATCTGGAGAAACAGTGCTGGTCAAAGTTTCCCCAATGGGTTCATGATTCTTGCTTAGGTACCAAACGAAAGGCATTAACGGATGAGAAGGACAAGATGGAGTCACCGGCGTAGTTGTCCCTCCGGGAACACCAAATCTCCAGCAGAACTGACAACGGCCTTGAAAATGCTTTTGCCCTACTCCATTTATCTTGGTGGCTTGGCTTGGCGTTGTTATTGTTGTTTGCAAACGTCCCCAAAGGCTTGTTCACTGTAGGTAGGCAAGGAAGCAATTATCCAGAGCTAAAAAAGAACAACAGAAAATCAGTGACATAAGATTATACCTCCATGTTGCAACATATCATTCTTCGGAGGCAATTGGAGAAACACAGATTGGTCTCAAAATGAACAAAAGGGAGGCAAAGACAAACCAGAAACTACTCAGTCTAATAATATTCATATGTTCCAAAACAAGGGCAAAGGAAAAAAACACAGAGGGATATAGGTGAGAATTCCATTTGAAACTTTTACCTGAACTCCAGATAATTTTTCATCTCTACCACTAAATGCAGTCTTTCTCAACGTTGTCAAGTTTAAGATGTGTGGGCTTCAACTCCCAGAATTCCCCAGCAAGCAATACTGGTGGACTTCAACTCCCCAGCCAGCAGCTGTGTGGACTTCAACTCCCAGAATTCCCCAGCCAACAATGTTGATGGACTTCAACTGGCTGGGGAATTCTGGGAGTTGAAGTCCACACATCTTAAAACTTGACAGCATTGAGAAATGCTGCACTAGAGAAAATGATGTCCCCAAATTCTGAGCCATGCCAGAGTTTACTACCACTTTTTTTGACAAACGCACCAACAGTGGTTGATTGCAGACCTGACGCTAAGCCACGGTGTGGTCTTGTTTCGGCCTAGCTTACTGTCTTAACTCAGCCCAATGTTTGCTTTTTCAACTAATTATCGTTTCCTGAGATATGTAAAACCCAACCATCTTGGGTGAGGGGAAATGGGGAATAAAAATAGGCTTCCCTCTCCACACGCTGAACAGACCCTTCCCAATTTCTTCCCGCTCTGTAAGGAATGGGAAATCTGTGATGTCACCACCCATACTTTTCAGCCTGTTCTCAGCCCCTCTTCACCTTAGGATGCCGGAATTCAGCAGCAGTTCATAGGCAGTTTTATGATCTGCAGGTTGTGCTTGATGGCAAGGGATCTTAATATAAATAATACCTCATAGAACATAGAATAATAGGGTTCAAAGGGACCTTGGAGGTCATCTAGGCTCTAGTCTAGCCCTTGGCAGGAGTTCCTATACCATTCCTTTTTTAAAAAAAAAAAAAAAAATTAAACAAATTTGAACATTTCATCTCCCATTAAACAGTGTGTCGTCTGGGTACAAATATCTCTGCGCAATCAGAATTTACGGTATTCATTACATTGATATTAATTCTCTAATCTTACAATCATAATAACCATAATAAACCTATTCACTTCTCCCTCTTAACATACCTTCTAATAAGAATATAATAGTAGCATTAAACACAATAGTCTTAACAATCATATTTGTAAGAATCATCATATTGTTTACATCTCTATCTTAACGTATTTTCTGTATTTCACTAATCTCCATTTATTTTTAACTATCTATACTATTCCTGACGAACAGCTGTCCAGTCTCTTTCTTGAAAACTTCCACTGATGGAGCCCCTCAAAAGTCCAGAAGTAAGCTGTTCCACTGATTGTACTCACTGTCAGGAAATTTCTCCTTAATTATAGGTTGTAGCTCTCTTTAATGACCTTCTACCCATTACGGCTTTCCCAGCCCTCAGGTGCTTTGAAGAGGGAGTTAACTCCCTCTTCTCTATGACAACCCCTCAAGTACTGGAAGACTGCTATCCTATCACCCCTAGTCTAGGGGGACAGCTAGGGTGCAATGGGTTAATGGTGCTGGAACTTCTGGCCAGAAATGGTCTGCACTCTGGCCGTTCGAACCTGGCTCTGCGAGACAGGGTGAGCTCCTACCGCTCGCTCCCCAGCTCCCAGCCACCCAGCAGTTCGAAAGCATGCAATATTGCAAGTAGATAAAAGAGTACCACTTCAGTGGGAAAAACCTAGCTGCGTTCATGTGTGGAACAAGCGAAAGCCGGTCCTGGACCTGGCCCGATGTGAGGCAACGTAATGCAACATGAGGCGAGACGAACAGAGGAACACAGGAAGAGCCAGCAACCCGAGTACCCCTAGTCATTATTCTCTAACCATTGATGAAATAATTCCCATATCATATAATATTCAGTGGAAGCACTGACTCACCCCCTCACCTTCTTCTGAGACATTTGCCAAGCTCCCATTCCTTGTGCAGGCTCAGCTGCCTCTTATCTGACTATTGTCTAGTCTGTAGCCTTTCCTCTTGTCTCCCAAGGTCACTCCCCCATGCACATCTACTCATAAAGGCATGGTTCAATCTTTTCTCCATTTCTGGAGAGAGTCAGAGCAAATGCAGGAACACTGCACCATTTGGGAAGAGAAGCCAATGTAGGAGATGACCAGGCTGAGCCTGAGGAAGGAGTCAAATGTGTCATCAGTCTCGAATCCTTTCATTCCCACAAGAGCTCTAAGTCCAGTCCACCTTGAATTCCATCGACTCTTATCTACTGCCAATTTGCTTTGACCGTTAGTAGTTCGATTCTTGTAGAGAGCTTAAGTCAAGGTTGACTCAGCCTTCCATCCTTCCGAGGTGAGTAAAATGAGGACCCAGATTGTTGGGGCAATAGACTGATTCTGTAAACCGCTTAGAGAAGGCTGTAAAAGCACTATGAAGCTTTTATAAGGTATATAAGTCTAAGTGCTATTGCTAAGTGCTATTAAGCTTGCAATAAACCCTTATATACATTTGAACTGCCTGGATCTTTTCTGAGCTTGATAGCCACTGCCCCACACTGTATGTGGTTAGGGAAAGGGAAGGAAGACTACTTCCCTGTAGTTCTTCCAAAGGCCTGATGGGGAAGCTAGGTCTCAATTTATCAAAGCCACTTACGTGTATAAAGGCTGCAACTGCAGATGTGACATCTTTTGTGGTGCCTGGTAGCCGTAGGAATCAAACCCTCCAATAAAATCAACTGTGGAGTGAAAAGACAAGAGGGAGATTGTTCTGGCAAGCAGCTAGAAAATGTAGTGGCCATTATCTTACTCAAAAGTAGTCATTTAAAGACAATTGCAATAAAACATCCAGGTCCCAGCATGTAGGCTGGGGAATTCTGAGAATTCTTAAAATTACCAAATTTGGAAAACATTGTAGTAAAAGAACCAGAGATGTCCTTAAGTTGCCAAGGCAGATATTCATGAAGGCCAAGTGCTTATTTCGGGGTTCAAAAAAATATAAGACAGGGTCTTATTTTCAGGGAAACACGGTATCATGGACATATTTTCGTTACAGATGTATTTGTATTTTAATATTTTAAATTTTAATAAAGGTTTTTTGAAAATTAAAAAAAAACTTGTTGCAAAGTTTCTGCTAGGCTTTTAATGAGCTGGTTCGGCTTGCTAACTGAAGGCAATCTATGGAACTTACTTCTGTGAAAGTTACCAATATGGTACCGAAAAGGACCAGGGACTCTGGTCTGAGGAAGTGCGGTATGCCTGCCGTTCATTTTTTTTTTCATGGCATCCAATTAGATATCCCTGATTTATTTATTTAGTGAAATTTGCATTCCGTTCTGCTCCAGAGGCTCCAAGTGGCTGACATCCAAGTCATAAAACCATATGATGACAACTAATGTAGCCATAATGAAAAGCTAAAAATAACAGAGCGTAAGTCAGAGTTTACAAAAACCATCTCACTCCTAATCTCTAGAGCCTTCTTAGAGTCAGCTGAGCCATTGGTTCTTTTGCAAAAGGACAGCAGTGTTGGGTCCCATGCAGGGGTGGGCTTCAGATTCTTTAGCAACGGGTTCGTTGCCCTGTTGCTGGGTGGGCGTGGCCTGGGTGGGCGTGGCCTAGTCGGCTGCCTGCACCACAGCAGGGGGTGGGGAGGTGTTTCGCCCTCCCCAGGCTCCAAAGGCTTTCCTTGAGCCTCTGGGAGGGCGAAAACTGCTTCCCCCGGGATCCGGAGGCCGGAAACAGGCCAATTTCTAGACTTCTGGGAGGCCTGTTTTTCGGCCTCCCCAGGCTCCATGGGTTTTCCTCGAGCCTCCGGGAGAGCAAAAACAGCTTCCCCTGGGGTCCGGAGGCCCTCAGGAGGCCAGAAACAGGCCCGTGTCCAGACTTCTGGAACCTCTGGTAGGCCTATTTTTTGCCCTCCCAGACCCTCCGTGCAGCCCCTGCACTTACCTAGAATGATGAACGGGCTGTGTGGAGACTCCTGGGAGGGGTGGGGTGTGGTGGCATTTGGGGTTTCGCCGAATCCCAACGATCCTTGGCTAGAGGATTGCCCGAACCCTGCCGAACCCCCAGGAGCCCACCCCTGGTCCCATGGAACTGGGGGAAGAATTTTTTTTTTTAATTTGATTTATATGCCGCCCTTCTCCGGAGACTCAGGGCGGCTTACAATGCGTTAAGCAATACAAAGTCCACTCATTTAGTGAAAGTTGACTACAAAGTCTGCGTGCCACCTGTGGCATGCGTGCTACAGGTTCGCCATCACGGTCCTATACCATTTCAGACAAAGTCCACTCATTTAGTGAAAAGTCTTCCTGGCCCATCATCCTTTAACTGGCCAAGGAGGGGAACCCAACGTCTCCCCACAGGGTTAAATGAAAGTGGAAGTCTGATGAATAGCTGATCCTGGAATCTATGCTTAAAGATCTTAAAAGCATAAATAAAGGGAAAGCATCCAATCTTACTCCATTTACCTAGTGGTAAATGAGATATTTTATCTATCAAAACTAGCAAAAGAAGCCCCGTTGATACTTTCCACCCATCTCGTTGTCATTCTGCATTATCTAAGCTTTTCAAATATGCTTTTAATGTATTTTCCATATTAAATTTGCTGCAGCCAGGGCTGCCTTCTCATCTTTTTAATGGAGTGTCTTATTAGCTCTGAAAATAAATCAATGAATGTCAAAAACCAAAGCTCTCGCTCTCTCAAAACCCATGGGGGATGGGGAGAGAGAAAGAGGGAAGGAACACGAGGACCAGTTTTGGCCCACAGAGCTGGAAGAGACAGCGTGCTAATGCTTATAATTTGCCTCCCATGAATAGGTCTTTTCATGTGTAAAGCTTATTAATAAAGTTCATTGGTATCAAATCACACAGCGCCTATGCCATTAGGAGCCCCTGCCGGGATTCAAATATATAAGAGCCGCTTCTCGCATTAAGTTAGAAGTCCCTTATTTCACACCAAGATTTTAATTTTCCACTATGCTATTGGAACTTTTGTCAAACCATATCATCAGCCTCTGGCTGGCAGGACAATGTTTCTGAAAAAAAAATGGCTTAGGATTCAAGATAACATCCCAAAGGTGCTTTTTCCAGTTTTTCTCCTATGAAAACATTTTGCTTCTCATTCATGAAGCTTCTTCAGTTCTTGAAGAAGCTTCTTGGGTGAGAAGCAAAACATTTTCATGCTAACACATAATTCTATCATGTATTAATAGAACTCTATTAACTCTAATTGTTATTAGAATTATATAACTTGTCAAATGTAAATATGAATATTATTTTGCTTGTATTAAAATGTGATTAGAAAGGAGATTTTTTTAAAAAAACATAACGGCATAACTAAAAATTAGAAAGGGGATAAACAATGGAAGATTATAATTTAATTTAAATGTGTGTATTACTATTAAAACTACCGGTATATAAGTTTGTTAAATACAACGAATAGGATTATTACTATTTTACTTGTAGTAAAAGGAGTGACATTTAGAATTTGTAGATTGGTATAAAAATAACATACTGAAATATCGAATAATCAAAGAATGAAAGATTATAATTTAACAAAATATGTGTACTATTACTAAAATTTTATAAGATTGCCAACTGTGTTAAATATGAAGAATATTGTTCTACTGATACAAAATGTAAGACACTCTGGGATCACACTGCTCCCACAATGAGGGGACCTAAATAGGGAAGTGATAGTGATATGCCAAGAGGAGAAAACTGAAACATATGCTATAAACCAGAAGAACTCAAGATTGTGTAACCAGAAAACTGTTAAAATAGGAGTTAAGCTTATGGGAAATGGGCAAAGCCCGTATCTGGCTGAGCCTCACCATAGGCCAATTTTGTTCCCTTCTACAAACCAAAAAAACAACAGGAGTAAAGGCTTAAAACTGAAGGGGGATTAGTTTGTTAAATTCATTTGAGAAGGTTGTTTGGGATAAGTCTATCAAAAGGATATAAGAAGTGACAGTGAACAGGTTTGGACTGGCCAGTTTGGGAAAACTGGAAAGCAGAAGTGCCAAATAACCCTGCCTTGATTCTGTTTGTCCTGAGAAGAGGCAGAGAGGAATTCGGAGAAGTTTTCAAGATTGATGTTTGGATAGGCCAAGGCCAGGAAATATACACAGCAAGGGAATCCAGGAATGTTCCTTTATTTTTGAAGATATACGAAGACAATTTTGGAAAGCCCTTGAGTTTTTCTCGTTTTTTTTTTTTTTTAATCAAATAAAAACAAAGCCGTGTTATTTTGAGGGTTTTTTTCCCCACACTTTCCACTTTCCATGGGGGATTTGCTGTTTCTCCTTCCTTAATGGTTCATCTATTCCAGAGGTGGGTTTCAGCAGGTTCTGATCAGTTCTGGAGAACCGGTAGCGGAAATTTTGAGTAGTTCAGAGAACCGGTAAATACCACCTCTGACTGGCCCCACCCCCATCTATTCTCTGCCTCCCAAGTCCCAGCTGATCAGGAGGAAATGGGGATTTTGCAGTAACCTTCCCCTAGAACAGGGAGGGGATGGAGATTTGACAGTATCCTTCCCCTGCCATGCCCATCAAGCCACACCCACCAATCCATGCCACGCCCACCAATCCATGCCACGCCCACCAAGCCACACCCACAGAACCGGTGGTAAAAAAATTTGAAACCCACCACTGATCTATTCCTTCACCAAGCTCATCTCTACGTCCCTTTACAGATACCAAATATTCAGCATTGCAAGGCCAAGGAGAATGATCAGATCTGGGAAACCTTATAATACTGACATCCTAAATTGTAATTAATATTGATAGAATACATCTTATTTGCAATGGGCGCAAGTTATCTAAACAAAAAATAGGGTGTCAAAAATCTTCAGTGAATATTGTGTAAATATTATTGTATTGAAACAATATCATACACAGATAGTCCTCAACGTATGATCACAATTAGGCTCAACATTTATGTTGCAAAACGAGACATTTGTAAAATGAGTTTCGCCCCATTTTGCAACCTTTCTTGTCACAGTTGTTAAGTGAGTCATTGCAGTTGTTAAGTTAGTATCACGGTTGCTAAGGGAATCTGGCTTCGCCATGAACTCTGCTTGACAGAAGGTCACAAAAAGTGATCCCATGACCCCAGATCACTGCAAGCATCACAAATATGAATCAGTTGCCAAAGATCTGAACTTTGATGACATGAACATGGGGGTGCTGCAATAGTTGTAAGTGTGAAAAATGGTCATAAGTCACTTTTTAAAGTGCTATTGTAACTTTGAACAATCACTAAATGAACTGCTGTAGGTCAAGGACTACCTGTATTAAGATTTACATAAACTTATTTTGCCTTTTAATAACCCCATAATCCCTTGCATCGGGGTGGAGTCAGGGCAACTGAATGGAGCTGAGTATTTACTGGCCTAATGCCCTTCCTGTTGCCAATGCAGAGTTCGCAGCAGATATATACTCATTGTGCCCAGAGAGAGAAATATCTGCCACTACCTAGGATCGAACTCACAGCCTCCTGACTGTGAGGCAAGAGCTCCACCTCTAGGCCATTGCATTACTCATTTACATAAACTTATATAAACACATAATAAGAAAGGGGAAAAAAGAGAGAAAAAGAAGGGCAATCTTTACACAGCAGGAAGTGGAATATTAAACATTTCTTTGATCTCTTCTCAAGTCACTTGTGCGTCACTCTAATATTTCAAGCAGGGGCAACACTCCTACTTATTCAAGGGGATAACTGGATACTTACAGCTGTCTTCCTCCTCCATAAACATTTTGCTGACATAGCAGGCGTAAACAAATCCGAATAGCTTCAAAGTACATGTTTGGAAAAAGAGAGATACATGAATTAATGATCTGCAAGCAAAGAAATGTACCGATTATTATCACACCAGGATTCAACCATTTAAACTGAAGAGGGAAAAGCTCCAGCAGCCAAGTTTATTTCTCCCATTACTTGCCTCAGCTCCTGGCCACCTGGCAGGTGGAAAGCATGCAAATGCGAGTAGATAAATAGGTACCACTTCGGTGGGAAGGAAATAGCATTCAGTGTGCCTTTGGCATATAACCATGCTGGCCACATGACTATGAAAACAGTCTTCGGACAACGATGGTTCCCTCAGCCAAGAAATGGAGAGGAGCAACATGTCCTAAAGTCACACGACTGACAGGGAAACCTTTACTTTTAGTCTTACAATAAAGTAGAATTAGCTCATCTGGTTGTGTTCCAGAGGTGGGTTTCAGCAGATTCTGACCAGTTCTGGAGAACCGGTAGTAAAAATTCTGACTGGCCCCGCCCCCATCTATTCTCTGCCTCCTGAGTCCCAGCTGATCGGGAGGAAATGGGGTTTTTGCAGTAACCTTCCCCTGGAGTGGGGTGGGAATGGAGATTTTACAGTATCCTTCCCCTGCCACGCTCACCAAACGACACCCACCAAGCCATTTTTTATTTTATTTTACTCACATTTATATGCCGCCCTTCTCCCAAAGGACTCAGGGCGGCTCACAACAATAAAACACAAGACAATAAATTAATGCTAAAACAGTCCAATTACAAAATTAAAAATCCCAACAATTAAAACTAAAAAACTCCCAGCGGATCAAGAGATTTGCTGGAAAAGCCATGTCTTCAGGCCAGTGCAGAAAAAGCAGAAGTCGGGGGCCGTCCGGAGCCCAGCGGGTAATTCATTCCAGAGGGTCAGTGCAGCCACAGAGAACGCCCTCATCCTAGGTGCCACCAGCTGACATTGTCCGGCCGATGGCACCCGGAGGAGGGCAGCCCTATGTGAACGCACAGGGCGGTGGGAGGCCGGTAGGAGGTGGTCCTGCAAGTTTTCGTTCATATGGGTGTGAATTCTGCAGCAAAAACTAACCATAGAATTCTTCAGTGCCTCTGTTTTGTTTTGTTTTTTAGAAGTGATGGAGAGGCCAACCCAAACAAGAAGAGATACTGTTATACCACTTACTTACCGCAAGGAATATCTGCATTGCACTGCTCACCACCTCAATATATTGATAATCGAGCAAGCATCCAGTTACTGTGATGACGTGATGGTCTTCTAAGGCCAGGTTGGAGTTGATCACAGGGGTCACCAGGCAACCAGGACCGTTCTCCATCCACCAAGAGCGATGCAATGATGTGTTAAAGGTCATGATGAAGTCTCGATCCTGCAGAAATGGGAGAAAGATGAACTCAACAGCGATGTTTGGACCACTACAAAGAGGGAGAATATATACCGTATTTTTCGGACTATAAGACGCACCGGACTATAAGACATGCCTAAATTTACAGGAGGAAAACAAGAAAAAAAATAGTTTTGGGGTTCCATGCATTGGATTTTCACCCTCCCAGGCCCCCAGAAGCACTCTGCAGTGCTCCGCACAGCTCATTTTCACCAAAAACGGGTGCATTTTGGCAAAAATGGGCTGTGCGGAGCACTGCAGAGTGTTTCTGTGAGTCTGGGAGGGCGAAAACGCGAAGTGCGGAGGGTTCTGGAGGCCAAAAACGCCTGTATTCAGTCTATAATATGCACCTAAATTTTCACCTACTTTTAGGGGGGGAGGGTGTGTCTTATACAAAAAATACAGTACATATTGATAATCCCTTTGAGGTAAGCCATGCTATGCAAAGAGAAGAGAAATGGTCATCAGAAGCAATGACATCTAGGGTGATGGAGTGTTAAAATTGGGAAGTTGATGGGCAAAGCATCACAGTACAAACCAAAGGAACACAGTGTGCATTCTGATACTCCCATCTACTATCTGTCAATTTTGAACCCTGCAGAGGCCACTGATTTGATGAGTTCATAAATACTGACTTTTGCTGCACATCATAGTTTAGGTAGGTCAATCAAGATTTTCACATAATACTTTCCATTAAGATAATAAATGAGTAGACTCCATAAGCAGCCTTACCCCCTTATCCATGCCACAACAGTAGTGGTCAGTTTTAGTGCCTTCTGTGCCAGCCAGAATTTCTAATTTGTAGAGTACTTTGTAAGTTGACACAGTATTGATCTTATCCAACTACTAGGAGGTGCATACAATGCACCCATAATTCTTGCTCTTTGGAGAATGACAAATTAGATAAATAAGAAGCCAGCTATCTTATAATTCCGCCACTATTTCCTGTCCTCCAACTATCAAGACACCAGAAAATACAGAGTCAGCAAAGACCCCCTTTTGGGCTCTCTTCCAGCCTGATTGCCTCTGATCAATATGTTTAGCTAAAGAAGAAAAGAATTCTGCAAAGGGATTTAGTCTTCCTCCTTAATTTTTGAATCGAAAGGAGATTATGAAGCAAGTCGAGAGTTGAAAATTCTTCGTACAATAGTCCAGTCAAAAACTTTATTTACACCTGGCTGGAAAGGATTCACATTTATTTTTGAGGGAATGGGTGGTGGGGTGCAGCATTGTCTTTATGACCTCACAGAATTAGTCAGGGATTCTTTTTTCAGGTTGGCATGGAGGGTCTTTGGGGAGGTTTGTGTGTGTGTGTGTGTGTTTGCATGTGCAGGCTGTTTTAGATGCATATTCTTTCTGAAAGCTTGCCTTACCTTATTTGCACTGTTTTTCGTTAAGAAGCCATGAAGACGGGTGAAATCCAGCAGGTTCTGACAAGTTCTGGAGAACTGGTAGCGGAAATTTTGAGTAGTTCAGAGAACCGACAAATACCACCTCTGGCTGGCCCCAGAGTGGGATGAGGTGGAATGGAGATTTTGCAATATCCTTCCTGCAGGAGTGGGGAGGGAATGGGGATTTTGCAGTATCCTTCCCCTGGAATGGGGAGGGAATGGGGATTTTGCAGTATCCTTCCCCTGCCACGTACACCAAGCCATGCCCACAGAACCGGTAGTAAAAAAAATTGGATTTCACCACTGCATGAAGGCCTTGGAAAATATATTCTAGCACCTACAAGATCATAGTTGTTGGGCAAGCCATGGGGTATTTTCTGTGGCTTTCTCGGCAAGCAAAAGTTGGATTTTAACGAAGAAAGATGGGAAGAGCGTTGAAGCTTTTCAACTTTGGTGGTGGAGAAGACTGTCACCCAATTCTTCCTTACCCATTCTTGCAAATACTTTTTCTTCCTTGAAATGAACATACACTCCTCTTTACCCATGCCGCCACAAAAGAGAAAAACTCCAGACAGCTGCATTCTGGTTTCTTTATGGGTTTGAGAAGTTGGACCTGGAAACTCTGCATTCATATTTCTCATTCACCTCTAATTCAAACTTTAAAAGACACGAATGAGATTGTTGTGTCATCCTCTGCCCATGGAAAATGACAGGACATACTGCTCTAGCCCTGAAACTGGTTCAATACATATTGGACTTCAACATTTCTGGTTATTATAAACTTCTCCACATAATTAGATGGCATAGTCTTTGTTTAAATAATAATGATAACGATGGCAATAACAATGCCAGAAAAATAAACAATGATTTTTTTAAAAAGCTGGGCTTGGAATAAAACAACGTTGGCAATTTTTAAGATGTGTGGACTTCATTTCCCAGAATTCTGGGAGCTGACGTCCTTATATCTTAAAGTTGCTAAGGTTGAGAAACCATAGAAGAGCAGGCTGAATTGGAAGGCGAAGTTAAATGGGTCATGAGTTTGGAGTCGTTGCATTGCTACAAGAAAGCCAAGTCCAGCTTCCTTCCCCATGAATTCATTGACCCTTATCTAGCACCAACTTTGCTTTGACCATTAGTTGACTAGATTCTTGTAAATAGATAACTGTTCTGTGCTTTGAACTCGAAAAATGCTCCTGGTTATTTGCGCCTGACAGATACAATTTAATACTAATTAGAAGAGGCATTCCCCCTGGTCAGTGGTGAAATTCAAATTTTGTTACTACCGGTTCTGTGGGCGTGGCTTGGTGGGCGTGGCTTGGCGGGCGTGGCAGGGGAAGGATACTGCAAAATCTCCATTCCCACCCCACTCCAGGGGAAGGATACTGCAAAATCCCCATTCCCTCCCCACTCCTGGGGGAAGGATACTGCAAAATCCCCATTCCTACCCCACTCTGGGGCCAGCCAGAGGTGGTATTTGCCAGTTCTCCAAACTACTCAAAATTTCCGCTACTGGTTCTCCAGAACCTGTCAAACCTGCTGGATTTCACCCCTGCCCCTGGTCCAGCAATGCCTTTCCTAAAACAACATACGAGATCCATGAATCTATAACCCTGATAAAAGTGTGGTTTGAATTCACAATGATGATCTCCTTGGAACCGGATTTAATCAGTGAACAGTATCCGGATGAGACACACACACACACACTCCCAATGCATTTATACTGCTCCAGTAAAAATACAGCCTGATTTGTCTTCCTTCCCTCCCAGACCCCCATCTTCCCTTGTGGATCAGCCCATCTGTTTACAAAACAGAGCAGTTTCTGTCAACGTGCTCTGTGAGCACTGCATTTCAAACAGAGATTTGTCTTTACTTGCAAAACCTGTGCATGCCATAAAAGAGAAATGCCCCAGCGAGAGAATGGGGGTGGGGGTGGGGAAACCCTCACACAGCCTGAACACCTGGAGAGGCCAAACCCTCATTTATTTATAACACAGAGCAACGCAGCAAGACTCCCAGTGGTCTCTCAGTATCGTGCCAAATTGGACCTGCAATGTCAGCACTGGAAGAAGTTGCCGGAGGGGGGGGGGAACGAGAGACGGGACGGATTGGGTTAGACTTAATTTGAAAGAAACATGGAAGCATTTACAACCTGCGATCTTCTCCTGAATTCTTAATCTCTATCCCAAGGAGCAATTGCTGCTGGAAAGGTGATGGATGGGAAGCTGTTGGGTGGACCGATGGCTCGAGAAGGGCAAGTTCTGGGTGTGATTAGAGAGGTAATTACCTGTGAAAGGTGTCCGACTTCCAGGTAAAAACAGATGATAAATGCATTCCAACCAACCCAGACAATGAGCCACACAGCATACTAGTGAGGGAGAGAAAGAGGCAGGTTGAAGACGTACAAAAAAACTATTAAAACAATTGGAGATAGATGCTTGTTTTCTATCGTTCTTACCCTAAATATATCCAGCTGCAGAAAAACAACACATATTGAAGATTTAAACTTAAGAATCTGAACGAAGATTCCTAAAACAAGTAGACCTTTTTAATCATTAAAACCTAACTTCCAAAATCAGAGTGGGTTTGTGCATTACACTAAGCCGTGATTTGCTTTATTATTCTATTTATTGATTAAATTTATTTGTTGCCCATCTCGCCACGAGGCAACTCGGGGTAGCTTTACTATCAACACAATATTGCAATATCCCCAGTCATTCTGCACTCTACGTTAAGGTTATGGATACTACTGGTTCATGTTAGGTTCCTACTTAATACCTAATTTTTTTTACAACTAGTATTACAACTAGTCATAAAATCATCTCTTGACTGTTCTCTTGAGGGGGCTCTAAAAACACCGTTTATCCAGGTTGTCTATCCAGGTTTTTAATGTCAATTATTTTATTTTTGATTAGAGTGGCGTTGTGGCCTAGTGGTGATGATGCTCGCCTCCCACTTGGAAGGTTGAAAGTTCAATCCTAGGTAGCTGCTGATGTTTCTCTCCTAGAACACAAAGAAAAAACATCTGCTGCGAACTCTGGATAGGCATCAGGAAGAGCATCTGGCCAGTAAATGCTCAGCTCCATCCAATTGCCCCAACTCTGAATACGGACTACAAGTAAAGGTAAAAGTTTCCCTATCAATCATGCCCGACTCTAGGGTACGGTGCTCATCTCCATTTTTTGGCCGAGGGAGCCAGCATTGTCTGAAGACAATTTCCGTGGTCATGTGGCCAACATGGCTATATGGCAAAGGCACATGGAACGCTGTTACCTTCCCACCGAAGTGGTACCTATTAATCACCTTGCATTTGCATGCTTTCCAACCTCTAGGTGTGTGGGAGCTGGGGCAAGTAATGGGAGCTCGCCCATTGCACAGAGTTCGGGTCTCAAACCCAGCCTGTCAGCTCTCCAGCTTAGCATTTTTAATCACTGAGCTATTGATTGCAGAGTCATAAAAAGGGAGCTTTAATTGTTTTAATTTTGATTGAAATGTATCCGATTGGAAGTCTTAATTTTATGCATTCACGGTCCTAAAAACTGGCAGCATAAATACAACAGTAAACAAAACAAATAAAATGTTAAAAAGTTATGATATTTATATACTGTGTTTCCCCAAAAATAAGACCCTGTCTTATATTTTTTTGAACCCGAAATAAGCACTTGACCTTATTTTCGGGGAGGAGGTCTTATTATATTGGGCCGTGTGGAGCAAGACAGAGCTCCTCTTGCTGTTTACCTAATATTTTTGGGGAGGGCTTATGTTCAGGGGAGGGCTTATTTTTGGGGAAGGGTTTATTTTTGGGGGAAGACTTATTATCCAGGGAGATATTATTTTCAGGGAGTAGTTACTTACCAGGCACATCTAAATTATATTAAAGTAACCAAAATATCTTTACAATCCCTAAGGCACATCACAATTTTTGAGAACCCTCAATGTTTGGAAGTGGAAAGCTGAAAAAATTTGACACGCCCTAATTTATACCAAGCAACAATCCAACATATTTCACTATTTTGATAAAAGAAGCAAAAAAAACCCCAGAGAGTAGGATATTATACTTACCAGCATGAGGTATCTGGATCTGTACTGAAGGGTGCCAAAAATACCCAGGATGACGGCCATAATGTGTAAAAAATTGGCCAGGATCGGCAACCATTGATAACCCAGGAAGTCAAATATCTGTCTCTCCAGGGCTGCAACCTACAAGAGACCATAAAGGCAGACAAAGAATTCTTCATTGCACAGTGTTACACAGAATAAGAAAGCAGCAAAGTCTACCACAGAATTAATAAGAAACCCTATGGGCTATTAGTCACAACCAACAGAGATGTTGGCGTGATTCATTGGCTGCTGTCAAAGAAATATATTCCAAAACAGGGGGGGATTTATGGGGGATCCATCGCAAGGCAAAGAAAAGGATGTTTGCACTGGCAAATGGCACAGGTGGAAATGAGCACAAATGAGCGGATGCTTCAATTACCAAGAGGAGGAAAAGAAGATAGTTGTCCCCAAAGTGGTAAACCTGGGTATGTCCCCAGGAGCTTGTTCCTTTGAATCCAAGAGTCTGTAAGAGATTCTTAGTCATCCATGTCATGGTTGTCCCGAAGGTGCTTTTTTCAGGAGGCAACTGGACTTTTTTGTTTTTTTCTTTTGAAGATGTTTCGCTTCTTGTCCAAGAAGCTTCTTCAGCTCTGATAGGATAGTGGAGAACGGAAGGATTTATACTCCTTGCAGACAGCTGGACATTTGCATCCTTTTTGAGGGTCCTTGAAGCACTTGAAGGTTTATCTGTGTCCTCAGGGTCGCCTACAGGAACCAGGAGCACTCCTCAGGTGACCCTGAGGACACAGATAAACCTCCAAGTGCTTCAAGGACCCTCTAAAAGGATGCAAATGACCAGCTGTCTGCAAGGAATCCTTCCATTCCCCACTACCATCCAATCAGAGCTGAAGAAGCTTCTTAGATGAGACAAAAGAGGGATTCCCCTAGATTATTTGGGAGGCTAGTTCTCTCCAAAGCTTTCGTTAGAAATTGAAAACAAGGCTGAATCCTTGAATCCAGGCCAACATTTCACTGCAAGCCTCTGAAATTAACCACACCTGTCAGCGGGGATCCTGTCTCCACACTTCCTTCCTTCCCCTCCATACTTTAAGTCTGACAACCCTCATAAATCATTTTTGCAGGTGACTTAGCCTTCTAGATTAGGCTAATTGGGTTCTTAACAGCCCTACTGAACACCAAGTCCTTTGAAGTTAAGAGTCAGTGTGTTTCCTTGGTGGACCTTCCATTTCCCTGCGATGAGATCAGCCATGAATCATGTAGTCCACCTCTGGGGCCTAGGGTTAAAAAAAAGCTGGCAATTAATCTCTGACACCATTAAAATGGTCTGCCACAGTATAGCTTTCCACAACTGTTGCTCTTGGAGTACAGCTCCCATTGTTAGGTGGCTCTGTGGGGATTGGGCCTAGTGAGAGTTAGCATCCAACACATCTGGTAAACTGCAGTTTCAGCACATCTGAAGGAGGCCCCGGAATAGTGAACATGGTCAGATTAATCATGATAATGAAATACTATGCCAGTTCCAAGCCAGGACCTGCTTCTGCTTACAGTAACAGAAAATAATCATTACTACAGGCAGTATTCAAAGAGTTGTGAGATATGTAGCAGATTGGGTACAAGTCTCATCCAACTGAGATTGGGCCGCCCCCACCCGTGCCGACATAGGAAGCATGCTGAGGGCTCCATCGGTCAGGGTATTCCAGCTGCCAGGGTCCAGAAGAGCCTTCTCTGCCATTGCACCTACCCTTTGGACAGGGGTGGGCTCCAAAAATTTTAGCAAGGGTTCTCTGCCTGGTTGCTGGGTGGGCGTGGCCATGGCGGGTGTGGCCATGTCAGCCTCATGCACCATGACGGAGGGGTCGTTTTTGCCCTCCCCAGGCTCCGGAGGCTTTCCTCGAGCCTCCGGGAGGGCGAAAATAACCTCCCCAGGCTCCGGAGGCCCTCTAGAGGCCGGAAATGGACTTCCAGAACTTCCAGTAGGCCCGTTTTTCACCCTCCCCGAGCCTCTGCGCATGCCCTGTACTTACCTGCATCCAAAACGGGCCGCATGGGGACTCAGGGGAGGGGCAGGGTGGGGCGGGGCCAGCCAGGAGTGGGATTTAGGGGTTCTCCGAACTGCACAGAATCTTAGCTAGAGGTTCTCCCGAACCCCTGCAAATCCCCAGTAGTCCACCCCTGCCTTTGGAACATCTTGCACCCTGGAGTGAGGTCAGCTTCCACCCTCCTAACCTTTCGTAAAAATGTGGCTCTGCCAATTGGCCTGGAGCTTCAATGGGGAAATTTCACATTGGTGATGGTTGATAGTTAATAATAGATCTCACCTCCCCTTCTCAACCTACTCCGTCCCTCCCCATCTTTTAATTAGGATTGAGTATTTATTTATTTTTTAATTTGATTTATATGCCGCCCTTCTCCGAAGACTCAGGGTGGCTTACAATGTGCTCAGCAATAGTATTGGTATTTTATAGTTATAGTTTTTATAGTTTATTTTATACTTATAACTATATAGTTATAGTTATAGTTTTTATAGTTATTTTATAGTATTGTTTACAGTATTGTATACTTTTAACTTTTTAATATTGTATTGTAAGCTACCGACAGATACTCTATGGTAAGATGGGTGGCCAATACATTTAATAAATAAATTAAAAAGGGAATGTGAGATTCAGAAAGTAATAAAATATTAGCAACTCCAGATAACAGTTAGCTTCCTTGTCAACTCTGCAACAGAGAGTACAGGCAACTGCGTAACTTGATTTCTCATCGCTTGAAAACTGGCAGTTGCATATATAAATACAACCTTGTGAGATATAGCAATAGCACTTAGACTTATATACCACTTCACAGTGCTTTACAGCCCTCTCTAAGCGGTTTACAGTCAGCCTATTGCCCACAACAATCTGGGTCCTCATTTTACCCACCTCGGAAGGATGGAAGGCTGAGTCAACCTTGAGCCTGGTGAGATTCGAACTGCCAAATTGCAGGCAGCCAACAGTCAGCAGAAGTAGCCTGCAGTACTTCACTCTAACCACTGCGCCACCACAGCTCTGATATACTATCAGAACAAGGCTTTGTTTCTAAGGTGCTATCTCTGGTGAGCTGGATCTAAAGATTCCCTTCCTCTAACAACAGACTTTGTCTCCTTGAAGGATCTCCCATCTAACCCACCAGTCTGTTTAATGTATAATAGCGCTTCTCTTGATTTTGGTTCAATATAAAATGCAAAACTAATTATTATGGTTTATGGCTTGCTTGTTGAATTCCTAGTTTAAAGCATCCTCCTGCCTTAGGGACGATTGAAGAATTGCTTTTGCTGTTATTGCTGGGAGATGATGGATGTTGTTATCACATGGAGAGCACTGACTCAGAAAGGTTCATATGGTACTTGAATTGTTCTTAAGCCTTAAGTATGTCTTCATTGGCTTGGTGAAGAACCAGCTTTGCAGGAAGAAAGTATTAAATCCGATCCCTAATACTGTATCTTTAGATAGATATTGAAAAATCACCCAAGATCCTGGAAAGCCACTAACAATCAAGACCTTGGAGACAGTTCATCTGGCTACTCTATATTTAACTAACCCTTTGTGCAACATTAGATCCCTTTATCTCCCATGTGACTACTAGAGCTCAGCACCAAAACAACCTTGAGATTAATTGCATCCCAATGGGCCATTATCCTTGAACTGTGTGATTTCATTTGCTATATGCCTTGGGCTCGGTGGAGATCTCATTTAATTAAACTGCACCAGAAGTAACATTTCTGAACCAGTGAAACTTCTGGTACCACCCCAGAAAGTCCACGTGTAATCTTGGGTTCTTGAGCCCTCTTATTTGTGGGAGTAGTATCAACCATCAATTTTCTAGGAGTTTTGGGAAACATATCTACAAGGGAGGGGTAGAAGGAAAAGGACTGTGAATCCTCAATTAGAGATAAGGCTGCAAGGCAAGAACACGTAAAGAGAGTGAGATACCATCTGTATATTTGATAACGCCTTGAATCTCTCTTCAGATCTATGCCATTGGAGAAGTTCAACAAGAGCTTGTTCCAACCAGGTGCTTCCAAGGCGGACTTCAGCTCCTATTGCCTCCCAAGGGAACAAAGCCAACATCCAAACCGGCTAACAGAACCCTTTAAGAGTCTGGAAAAAAATAATAATAATTGCAAGCTTGATTGCAAAACAAATTGCTGCAGATGAGCACCTGTTAATTTTGTTATTACGCATAACAATCTTCTGCTAGAAAGCATTCTGCCTGCACATTTGGCATTGCCACTACCAGGCTACTGTGTATCTTGATGAGAAGGCACAAGCTGATAGCTTAATTGGCTTTAAATGAAGATGACTGTCTGTCCTGATTATAGCTTTCTTTAGTAACAGCAGTTAAATTGCTGACAATTAGGTTTCACTTAAATTGCAGGTGAAGATATTTGTGCAGGAATGGTAATATTGCCCTCATAATAACAGAATGGCTGCCCATCAAGCTATGGAAAAGCAACGGTGCTTCCTTTTTGACACTAGATAGCTCCCCAATAATCTATCCAGAGATACAAAGCTTTTTTGCATCCTTGACTCTGTCTGCTTCCAAAAATCTATTTCATTATATTTTATTCAATCGCTCCCAATACAAAGCAAATGGAGACAGAAAGCTGGAAGACAAAGAACACCAAGATGCAATTGTCTTCTTCTGGCCCTCTTGTTGCAAACTGAATAAAGGAAGCAGCCAGTTGGAGGCTTTGGCCCAGGCCAGGGGTCGGCAACCTTAAACACTCAAAAAGCCACAAGGGTCCTAACTGGAAGCCCCCATTCAATTCTGGAGCCGACCGGAAGTCCAATTCCCCCACCATAGAGTCTCCTCCTAGCGTGGCATCCTTTTTCCTCTACCTGTCCTAACCGAAAGCCCTATCTATTGTGGAGCCAACCAGCAACAGGGAGCCGCAGCAGAGGGATGAAAGAGCCACATGCGGCTCCAGAGCCACGGGTTGCTGACCCCTGGCCCAGGCCAATGTGGGGAATACAGAATCTCATCAATTGCAAATTATAAAATGCAAGGTGGATGAAGGGAGGGCTCAATTAATTCAATGGCCTGGGATCATGCAAGACAATGGGCGTGTTTGCACAATGTAGTTTGACCATGGTTTATTC